GTTATTCAGTGGAATGGTCCTACAATGTAGGGCCCCCGGACGATAGCTAAGTTGGTGTGGAACTCTAATAAGTATAGTTTGTGGTACTTATAACCATAGTTCATGGGGTTTATAAAGCAACAAACATCACTGGGGTGGCCACATTGTAGGATAAGAATGGGACAATGATACATAGGATGATGGGATAACAATGAGATGATTTTTTTGAAGGGGAAAATCATGGGATCGCACGGAAATTAAGCGTCAACATGAAAGGGGTTAGTCAGGTAAGTTATAGGGGACCATCATGGGAATATCATGTATACCCTCTGGCAATGACTAACAGTTTGCGAACTTGAACATGGCCATCGAAATAGTTGATTTACCCAGCTAGAAAATGGTGGATCTTTCCACTTCGCGAACTTGTTAGTTTACCAAAGGGTAACCATCACTAACCATCATTAACCACTCAGATATATGGTTCATTAACCATCATTAACCATCATTAACCATCATTAACCATAATTTCAATCCCATGAAATCCCTTAAATCCCACTAAATCTCATTAAATCCAATTGAATCACCATAGTTTAGAGGGTAGCTTAAACCATTATAGTTTACCATACTCATGAATAATGGGAGTAATGGGATGATAATGCGATGGAAGGATTCGGACAAGGGGATGACCCCTGCTCAGTAGTGGATAAGGACCATGACCTTTGGCAGCTAGCACATCACCTCACCACACTTGCAAAGGAGGCAGCACTCCTGATCAAAGTTGTGAAGGTGCAGGCGCATGAGGACGGGTCATCATACACCAACCCAATTGACCAGTGGGCCGTTGCCGGAAACGCAGCCGCCGACCAGGCTGCACAATCCGCCCGCAGATTTTTTTCTTCCCAATTTTGGCAAGTTTGGGACCAGGTTCGACTTGCCTATAAAAAAACCCCTACACGGATCCGTGACACCATCCACAAAGTTTTTGTTTCTGTAGGACAAAAAGCATCTCGAACAAAGAAGGTCGAGACAGAACCAGCCGAACCAAAGCGTGAAGTGCCGGACGTTCAAAATGTCCAAGTGCCAGTAGCGTTTGACCCTTCTCCAAACTGGGATGATCGTGATGAGACAATCGATCTAGGAGAATGTGCAGTTTCAGTCTTTGATTGGTTACGCAATTTCACCCAGGGCGCACAAACAGAACCCATGTGGATTTGTACTTATCAAATGTTGTGCCACTACCAATTAGCTACAGGTAAGATCGGCCCCTCTTGCGTGGCGAAGGTTTGGATCCAGGTGAACATGCCCTTAAACCACACAAACAGTACGATTTCCTGCAGCAGGCCACTTGGTTTGGACACTATTTGAGGAAACTTGGGAAGGCGTTCCATTTAGAGCTAGAAGCCGCGCCGCACACGTCCTGCAGGCACAGTGATTCAATTTTGGAACAGGTGTTACAAGATCCGAGCAAATGCAGCTGTTATCAATGGACTGGATCAACTTTTTGAGTCGAAAATTGGGATGTCTTTGAAAAAGGCTGCTCAGTTCCAGGGGCTACCCATCCTAAAACAGGATGCGTAAAGGCAACCATTGGCCGCCCTTGTAGACTTTTCATGACTTTTCTGCATTGGACAACATGGCCGAATGGGAAATGGGAAATGGGATGACAACGGGATGATCCCCTGACAACGGAAAAAAATGGGGATTCATCCTCAGGCGTATGGTCCATCCCATAGGAATCCTGATCTGGGTACCCTCTGGTTATGGCTGACAGTTTGCCATGGTTAAGCCATGGCCCTAATCGAAATAGACGGTTCACCAAACTTAAAAATGGGTGGATCTTTCAATGGCAAACTGTTAGTCATTATCATAACCAGATGGTAAATAAATCCTAATAGATAATTAATTAATTTAATACTCCAATATGGAGTATAAAAAACATAAAGTGTTAACCATGGAGCATATAAGGATATAGCCGAAGAAACATGGTAGATATGTAGTGTCAGTAAAAACTAAGAGCACTAGGAATGTACTGAACGGAACATGATAGGGATATAGTAGGAACACATTAGGAATCAAATAGGAATGGAATAGAAAGACAATATGGGAATATCATACATCGATTTGGCTAAACCCCTGTGGAATCACAAATGACTTGAGCAGTTTCAGCTTAACCCTGGTGTTGACGATTGTGTCGAGGGTGATTAGTCTACCTCTTTTATATTGGGATGATCATGACTAAAGGGGGTTCCACTACCCCAAAGCTGGTGCGGATTATCATAATCGATGGAACATACCTGGCAGGACACACGTGTGTTGTTTAGTTCGTTCGTGCGAATGGGATACATTAACATAATATAGCCATAATATCATAATAACTGGCTGTATGTAGCCAGATATAAACCCATATTATTATTATATATATATATATAACATAATGTTATAATATAACTTGATTTTCATACAGCCAGATATTCTGTTAATATGGGTTTCTCTTGAGATGCGGTACCCAATTCCATCCATTGATGGAATCATCATTTCCCCTACCAAAAAGTGCCGTCCAATCAAATTATGTATTGAATGCAGCAGATATTTCAGTATCATTACTCTAACAGTTGGTATCTTGGGTCAGGTGCAGGACAGACATCGAGCCGTTGCTGTATCGTATGATCAAATAATGTCAACCCTGGATTCACTCATGATCACTATTTGGAAGGTACTTCCACAATTAATAAACCATGACTGGTTGGTGGTTTTAACAATCTTGAAACATATTACTCAATGGGAAGGATTATCCCATATATTAAGGAAAATGAAAGATGATTGAAACCACCAACCAGATGGTTTCTGAATCCTGGGTTGATCTTATCCAAGCCAGAAACACAAAGCTGCCATCACTGCCATCACATTCCGTCAAGATCCAGGAGCACGGCCCAGCCCTGCCTATTGGGATTCCGAACTGAAGCACTGAAAATCCATGGGATTGGAATGAGATAAATATGGATAAACCATCTCTGGTTGGTGGTTGAGCCCCACCCCTCTGAAAAATGATGAAGTTCGTCAGTTGGGGTTATGACATTCCCAATATGATGGGAAAAACAAAACATGTTCCAAACCACCAACCAGTAAATATGGATAAACCATCTACAAAGTTACTAAAAGTGTACAAAGTGCTGGAGTTCTTCCACATGTTCAAACTTCTATCGGTGATGTTTAATCAACAGCAAATCACCAAAGAACTGAAAGACCCGCCGTAATCCGCCTGCATTCCTTCAGGACAACCCAATGGTCCAGCTTTGACAGGTCCTACACAACGAATCGATGCAGGGAGCAGGGTTGAAATCGGTAGTGCAAGCATTTCTTCTGGTTGGTTACTGTGGATTATATACATCCATATGGAGGTTTCCGTTTTGTCATGGGGGTCCCCCTAGATCATCCATTTATCGATGGGTTTTCATGGATTTTCCATGAAATAAACCAACCAGGAATGGGGGTATCCCCATTTATGGACGCCATGTTGATATCCTGGCTGACCAAAGATGGCTCCCTACAGCCACAAGTCCGCTAGCCATTGCAGAATGGTGCACGACTTCGTCGTCGACTGGGCCGGGGTTCTCTTCGACCGGATTTCTTGGACCGGTTTTGATCGCCATCGAAACTGAAACCCCCATTGCTCTGGGGCTAAGTTGGCATGCTTTCTCGCATTGATCTGCTTCTGCGGATGCTTCAGGGGTCCTGTGTGTACCCCCCCAATATCACCATAATCCATAATATTTGATTAGCTTAAAATTACCCGTCTCCAGTTGGTTTACCCGCACTTTTGATGCTTATCTCGGCATATTTTCATGATTTGTCTTCCGAAGCCAAGGGTAAGCATCGCGGTTATGACGCCTCCCTGGTCCCCATCCTCATAGACACCCCGGCTGGAACCTGCGAAGGGGGCCAGAAAAACAGGGCCAGATCTGTGCAGAAAATAGGGCATACTCCGCCAATGGGAATATGTTTTTCTAAATCGATCGATCGGTCAATCATCACATAATATTGGGTAGCCTATTTTCAAACAAATCCCCCCATGAGGCATGTTGTTGTGGAGGCAATGCAGCGATTTCACCAGAGTTGAACCTCACTGATGGGAATTTCATGTGGACCCACTGCTATTAGGACCTATCATTTTTGGATGGAAAAAATCATCCCCATCTTATTGAGTCATATTGGGGATGGTTCATCATTGGATGTACCACATTATCATTGCCAATCTTAGATACCCTGCAAAAAACTAAATTCTTGCTGGTTAGTAGATATTCCCATTAATACCAAAAGACTAAAGGATTAAAGTATCCATGTAAGATTGACCTAGTTATTTTGATCCTGTCAAGCCTCGACCATTCTAGTTTCAGCAATTGGGATCATCCGGTGAATAATACAATGTTGAGGTTTCCAAATAGATTTCTCTGAAAAGAGGGTATCCCAACAAAAGGCTCTGTGTTTCCTGCAAGGACACTCGTTACTGTTGCAAGAAACCACCACTCCCAAGAAGAAATCAGATGGTGAATCATTGTCCACTAAAAATATGCGGCTGTTTCAGGAGATATCCAAATGGAGGCTTTTTCCAAAAATAGAGGTCTCCCAAAATGGGGGGACCCCCAGTCATCATCTATTTGATGTTCGGGTTTTCCATGAAATAAACCATCCAGCGAGCTTGGGATACCACCATTTTAGGAAACCTCCAAATAGATAACTGGTTGGTGGTATACCTACTCCTCTGAAAAATATGAGTTCGTCAGTTTGGATTATGACATTCCCAACTGAATGGAAAGTCATGATCCATTCATGTTCCAGTCACCACCAACCAGTATAGTATAGATATATTGAATAATCATCATTTTAGTATAGATCTATTGGGATAGCACCATTTTAGGAAAGCTCCAAACATTGCCAATCTTAGATACCCTGCAAAAAAAGACAAATTCTGCAAGCTGGTACATTAGTAGATATTCCCATTAATACCAAAAGACTAGTTAGGATTATTTGGTATCCATGTAAGATTGACCTAGCAAATAGATAAATCCACAAAAGAAACGAAGCGTCGCAGCGTCGCAGCGTCTTTTTGGGCCCCGTGATCCGTTGCCAGCGACGCGGTTCAGCAAATTGGGCGACGGCAAGAGAACGTCCAAAGACCTTAGATTTTTTAGCGACAGGTGCTACCCCAGGTGGATTTAACCCAAGAGATACAAACACAGAATTTTACGTTGGCAATAGTATATTATTAGTTTATTATAGTTGGTTTATGTTAGCTAAGTTGATTTATAACTCCGATTTCACTAGGGTTGTATGGTAGATGATATCTCTATAGTTCATGGTGTTTAAAATCCAACAAACACAACTGGGGGGTAGTACCTTTTGCGTTGCCCCTTGTTGCGATTGCACCCCCCACATCTGGAGCAGAAGGACGCGTTTTCGAGTAGAATCATCTTGGCACGCCTATTCTTCATGGTTCATGTCAAGTTGAGTGTAGAATTATAGTTATTGACCAGCTATAGGATGTACATCCTAGCAAGTCTCGGGTAATGTAACACCTGAAAAGGGATGCATTTCAATATAAACATACTTAGACATATGATTACCAGCGGATATCCTTGATTACTGATATTATTACTGGATCATCACTGGATATTTACTACTAGACACCCTATATCTTTAAAGCTGGCAATATTGAAAACCACACCTGAGAACACACATCTATGGAGGACTTTGGCATATGACAGGGGCAATTCCAAGCAAGGGTGCTGAAGAAAATCATGATAAATTATGTTTTTTTTTTTGGTGTAACCTATGTTTAGACAAACCCAGATTAACGTACACCCTGGGCTACACCAAGATATGGAAAACAACCGGCTGGTTTCTCCCTGGCCCTGGTGGGTTAAATCCACAACACCGGGGTTCCCGACATGCCACCCTCAACGAGCGTTTCTGACCAGAGGTCTTGTACCTAAAAGCCATCGCGTGAAAAGGCGGTTTTCGCAGCGAAACAACCGCCAGAAATTGAAGGTTTAAAACCAACCATACCCGGGATATATCCGGGAGATATACTTTGCGGTAATTTGATATATAGAAAATCGGTAAATCATCGAACTAAATGGGCCATGATCCATAGCTCTATTAAACTGCCGCAGGGTAAGGGGAAGCAATGGGGGGTATATTGGGACAAACCCGAAGAAACCGTGAGAACAGGTCATGATCAGCAGTCTTGTGGAGGATGGGGGGAAGGATATTTCACCAAAGATGGAACTATCACGACGATCAACCATAGTAGTAGATGGATATCATTTGGATTTAGAATAAACAATCAAGATGCAACTGCTTCAAATTTGTTGAACTGTCCACATCCCAGTTATCCTAGTGAAGTAAACCCTCACAATGGGTTTGAATCATGGTACCCTTCCTGTCCTCACAAGTGGCTAGCTGAGAAAGCCCGGAACTAGCCATGGAGGGTACCCTTTGCCATCCCCATGATGCTCACAGACGGTTTATGGCGTAGCAATTTATCCCAATTTTGGCATCGTGGCATCGTTGACAACTGTTGACCTATAGCCATCTGAAGAACAGCTGGAATAGAATATACTGAATCAAACATGAGAAAACTAAGTAGAGATATAGAGACGCAATGGCAAATCAAGTGGATCCTCATAACATCAACAAACAACACTTGCACACCTACAAAAAAAATAATGTTCTTAACGACCCAAAATGACACATATTGCAAGTCCTTCTTTGAACCATACCCAAATTTAAGCGAGTATAGAACCAACAACAAGTAGAGATACCGATCTCCATTTCTGTTGCCTATGGGCCTATCGCCCGCAGAAACTCTCCGCTATCCAATACCAATCTTCACCGCTAGGACAACCCGAACACGACAATTTCCGTTCGGTCGCTAGGACAAACATACTTCTCCATTCTTTTGACTTACCCTCTGGTTATTTAACATAGCCATGGAAAATGGTCCATTTATAGATGGTGTACCTATTAAAAATTGTGATTTTCCATGGCTATGTTAAATAAGCAGAGGGTATATATTTATTAGATAACATCATCACTAAATTGAACAACACAGAAGCTGTGTTCATTTTGGAAATCAAAAAAATATAGCAACAAAACATTTCCAACCTTAAGTACCATCCATGAAATCTAATCAGCTTAGCTGGCTAGGTCAACAAAACATAATATACAGTGCCTCCATTAACAGTGGGAAAAGTGAAATAAACCGGTTACCATTATATCAAGTACTCCTCATATGGGCTCTCGATTTCAGAACAAATCCTCTTCATGAACACATGGCTTCGTTTGGGGGGGAGCATCCAAGATTGGGAAGGGATTATTACATGATACCCCTCCGGTAATCAGCTCCATGGCTTGCTGGAAAATCACCCATTCAGTCCAGAGATTTCCCAAGCTATATAAACATCTATTTCTACAGGATGGGGCCCCCAGTCAATAGCGTATAGCGTTCAGAAACGCCTTAAAAAAGTGGCTGAATTCGATTGGGTTTATGGTAGGTATTTTTCGAACTAGTTAACTAGTTTTCATGGGGGTTATTTCATGGGTTTCTAAACCAACTTATAACAGGGGGGCCCCATCCAATGATTGGTATTTAGTATTAACCATCCAATGATTTTTTTGCGTAGCCAATTTCGACCCATAGCCTACAATTTGTTGTGGAAGTTATGGCCCATTTAGTTCGCTAGTTTACCTATGAAAAATGGTTGGTGATTTTTAATAGCAAACTGGCAAATTACCAAAGGTTACGGCTTTGTACCCCAAAAACCACACCTACCTAATCACAAAAATCTATTAAATAAGTTAAAATACTATATATATAATCATATCTAAATAATCATATCTATATAATCATATCTTAATAATCATATCTATATAAACATATCTATATAATCATATCTATTTTGTCATATCTTAATATTCATATCTATATAATCAAATCTATATAATCATTTCTATATCTATATCTATCTGTAAACAATATATATATATGTATATATATATAACGTGGAATACAGATGAGTGTGGGGGTACACTATTGCGTCCACAGATTCCAAAATAATTGTGAACCCTTGGAAATGATGGAGGGGACACTATTGTGTCCACAAGATTTTGGGGTAAGTTTTTTCAGTTTTTTATTTTTCAATTGTTTTAAATTATTTTCTATTTTTTGTTTAATTTGATACATTTTTTCAAAAGTTAGTTTAATTGTTAAATTAAAAAATATTATTATTTTTTTTAATATTTGTATTTTTATTTGAATATATATATATATTACTTTTAAAACATATATTCAATTTTTAATTTTTAAAAAATAAACCTTTTATTTTTTTAAAACAATAATTAGTTATATATATATAATTGATCCTAAATTGTCGGGGGTTGGGTTCACTATTGTGTCCAGGTGCAGCTTCAATTGTGGGGGGTTGGGTTCACTATTGTGTCCAGGTATCACTATTGTGTCCAGGTGCAGCTTCTTCCTTTTTTTCCACCATTTTAAAGTTTTTCCTTTTACTTTCTTAATTCCCCACCTGCCAGGTGAGGGTTGTTAGATTTTATCCGAGCTGTTTTTTTTTCCAGTTTCTCCTTGACCATGTCTGCATCAACTTCCACGTCCACTTCCGCCTTGCCAACTCTTCGCCAATCTCTTCGCCAACTTCCGCGCGCAGTGGGCACTGCTGGACCTCAACTGCTGGCTTCGGCCTTGCCAACTCGTCGCCAATCTCTTCGCCAACTTCCGCGCGCAGTGGGAACTGCTGGACCTCAACTGCCGGCTTCGGCCTGCCAACTCGTCGCCAATCTCTTCGCCAACTTCCGCGCGCAGTGGGCACTGCTGGACCTCAACTGCCGGCTTCGGCCTTGCCAACTCGTCGCCAATCTCTTCGCCAACTTCCGCGCGCAGTGGGCGCTGCTGGACCTCAACTGCCGGCTTCGGCCTTGCCAACTCGTCGCCAATCTCTTCGCCAACTTCCGCGCGCAGTGGGCATTGGCTTCCGATCTGAGTGGGCAGGGCTGGACCTCAACCGCAAGGGTCTGAGCGCAGTGGGCACCGCTGGACCTCAACCTGGGACCCTCCGAGCTCAGTGGGCACTGGACCTCAACGCCCAGATAGAATGCCAAAAGATATGCCAGATAGAACGCCAGATAGCATGTCAGATAGAATGCCAGAAGATATGCCAGATAGAATGTCAGATAGAATGCCAGAAGATATGCCAGAACATATGCCAGATAGAATGCCAGAAGGTATGCCAGATAGAATGTCAGATAGAATGCCAGAAGGTATGCCAAATAAAGTGCCAGAATGTTTGCCAGATAGAATGTCAGAAGATTTGCCAGATAGAATGCCAGATAGGATGTCAGAAGATATGCCAGAAGATATGCCAGATAGAATGCCAGATAATATGCCAGAACATATGCCAGGTAGAATGCCAGAAGATATGCCAGATAGAACCCCTGCAGATAGCATGTCAGATAGGATGCCAGAAAATATGCCGGAAGATATGCCAGATAGAAAACCAGAAGATATGCCAGATAGAATGTCAGATAGAATGCCAGAAGATATGCCAGATAAAATGCCATAAGATATGCCAGATAGAGTGCCAGAAGACTTGCCAGATAGAAAGCCAGATAGGATGTCAGAAGATATGCCAGAAGAAGATATGCCAGATATGCCAGAACATATGCCAGAAGATATGCCAGATAGAATGCCAGAAGATATGTCAGATAGAATGCCAGAAGATATGTCAGATAGAATGCCAGAAGATTTGCCAATAACAAAACGTATAAATGTCATGGTGGGGATGACTCGAAGTAAAGTAATTTTTTCACTTGATCATTTGACATTTCCAAATGTCCTTCCACTTAAAGTTATAACCTGAGCCACAATAGTATGGTTTGTTTGGGGGGTACACTATTGTGTCCAGCTGGCTTCCTGAGGTGATTTTTTTTTTCAAACATTCCCTTTACCTTTTCCTTTGCTAAAGTTTTTTCTTTTTTGATATTTCTATGGTATTACTATTGGATTTCTATGGAATTCCTATGGGGTTTCCATGATGTTTCTATGATATTACTGGAGGATTTCTATGGGATTTCTGAAGGGATGCTATGGGAGTTCTATGGTATTCTCATGGGATTTCCATTGGATTCCTATGGGATTTCTATGGTATTTCTATGATGTTTCTATGATATTTCTATGGGGCTTCTATTGGATTCCTGTGGAATTTCTGTTGGATTCCTGTGGGGTTTCCAAGGTATTTCCATGATGTTTCTATGATATTTCTATGGGATTATTATTGGAATTCTCATGGGATTTCTTTGTGGTTCCTATGCTATTCCTTTGCTAAAGTTTTTTTCCTTTGCTAAAGCTTTTCTCTTCTATGGTATTTACTTTATTAATTGATTAGTTTCTTTCATTTGAAATTCCCAGAAATGCACAATTTCCCAAAATATATGATGCATTATTAAAATCCAATTTAAAAACATCACTCACACAATTTTTCAAGGGGGTAGTCCATGAGTCCATGAGCAACACTGATCCACAATAGTATGGTTTGTTTGGGGGGTACACTATTGTGTCCAGCTGCTTCCTGGGGTGATGTTTTTTCAATCAATCCCTTTACCTTTTCCTTTGCTAAAGTTTTTCTTTTACTTCCTAAACTTTCTTAATTAATTTCTTTCATTTGAAATTCCCAGAAATGCCCAATTTCCCAAAATATATGGCACCTTATTAAAAACCCAATGAAGTACTTTACTTCGAGTGACCCCCGCCATGACATTTATACGTTTTGTTACTGGCAAATCTTCTGGCATTCTATCTGACATATCTTCTGGCATTCTATCTGACATATCTTCTGGCATTCTATCTGGCAAACATTCTGAACTTTATCTGGAATACCTTGTAGCAGTCTATCTGGCATATCAGAACTCATTCTAGCTGGCATACCTTCTGGCATTTTATCTAGCATAACTTCCGGCATTTTATTGAACATTCTATCTGATGTTCTATCTTGCATATCTTCTGGCATCCTATCTGACATGCTATCTGGCGTTCTATCTGGCATATCTTCTGGCATTCTATCTGACATATCTTCTGGCATTCTATCTGGCATTCTATCTGGCATAGCTTCTGGCCTTCTACCTGGCATATCTTCTGGCAGATGTTCTGGCATATCTTCTGGCATTCCATCTGGCATATCTTCTGGCATTCTACCTGGCATATCTTCTGGCATATGTTCTGGCATATCTTCTGGCATTCCATCTGGCCTTCTATCTGGCATATCTTCTGGCATATTATCTGGCAAATCTAGTGGCATTCTATCTGGCACACATTCTGGCACTTTAACTGGCATATCTTCTGGCATTCTATCTGACATTTTATCTGGCATTCTATCTGGCATACCTTCTGGCATTCTATCTGGCATATCTTCTAACATTCTATCTGGCATATCTTCTGGCACTCTATCTGCCATATCTTATGGCATTTTGTCTGGCATATCTTCTGGCATTCTATCTGGCCGTTGAGGTCCAGCGGTGCGCACTGAGCTGGGAAGGTCCCAGGTTGAGGTCCAGCGGTGCGCACTGAGCTCGGAAGGTCCCAGGTTGAAGTCCAGCGGTGCGCACTGAGCTGGGAAGGTCCCAGGTTGATGTCCAGCGGTGCGCACTGAGCTGGGAAGGTCCCAGGTTGAAGTCCAGCGGTGCGCACTGAGCTCGGAAGGTCCCAGGTTGAAGTCCAGCGGTGCGCACTGAGCTGGGAAGGTCCCAGGTTGAAGTCCAGCGGTGCGCACTGAGCTGGGAAGGTCCCAGGTTGATGTCCAGCGGTGCGCACTGAGCTGGGAAGGTCCCAGGTTGAGGTCCAGCAGTGCGCACTGAGCCCGGAAGTTGGCGAAGAGCTTGGCGAAGAGTTGGCAAGGCGGAAGTGGAGGTGGAAGTTGATGCAGACATGGTCGAGGAGAAACTGGAGGAGGAGGCGGAGGAGGAGGAGGACAGCAGCTCTGATAAAATCCAACAACCCTCACCTGGCAGGTGGGAAAAAAAAGCATCACCCAAACAATTTTTCAAGGGGGTAGTCCATGAGCAGCCATGATCCACAATAGTATGGTTTGTTTGGGGGGTTCACTATTGTGTCCAGATGCTTCCTGGGGTGTTTTTTTTCCAAACATTCCCTTTACCTTTTCCTTTGCTAAAGCCTTTTTCTTTTATGGTATTTACTTTCTTAATTAGTTTCTTTCATTTGAAATTCTCAGAAATGATCAATTTCACAAAATATATGATACTTATTTAAAACCCAACTAAAAAACATAACTCAAACAATTTTTCAAGGGGGTAGTCCATGAGCAACACTGATCCACAATAGTATGTTTGTTTGGGGAGTTCACTATTGTGTCCAGCTGCTTCCTGGGGTGATTTTTTTTCAAACAATCCCTTTACCTTTTCATTTGCTAAAGTTTTTTTCTTTTATGGTATTTCTATGGTATTACTATTGGATTTCTATGGAATTCCTATGGGGTTTCCATGATGTTTCTACGATATTTCTGGATGATTTTTATGGGATTTCTGAAGGGATGCTATGGGAGTTCTATGGTATTCTTATGGGATTTCCATTGGATTCCTATGGGATTTCTGTGGTATTTCTATGATGTTTCTATGATATTTCTATGGGGTTTCTATTGGATTCCTGTGGAATTTCTATTGGATTCCTCTGGGATTTCCAAGGTATTTCCATGATGTTTCTATGATATTTCTGTGGGATTATTATTGGAATTCTCATGGGATTTCTTTGTGGTTCCTATGCTATTCCATGTTATTTCTATGATCTTTCTATAGGATTTCTGTGTGATTCCTATGGGATTTCCATGGTATTTCTATGATATTTCTTTGGGACTACTATTGGATTTCTGGGATGTCGATGGTCTTTCTATGGGATTCCTATGGGATTTCCATTGGATTCCTATGGGATTTCTATGGTATCTATTGGATTCCTGTGGGATTTTCAAGGTATTTGAAAATTAATTGAACGTAAAGTGAAATCAATGGAAATCAATTCAAAGTAAATTGAAAGCAATTGAAAGCAATTTGACATCAATTGAAAGTAATTAAATTGAAATAAATTAAAATCAGTTGAAAGTAAACTGAAAGTAAATTGAAATCAATTGGAAGTAATTAAATTGAAATCAATTGAAAGTAAGTTGAAAGCAATTCAAAGTAAATTGAAAGTAAATCGAAATCAATTCAAAGTAAATTGAAATCAATTGAAAGTAAATTGAAATCAATTGAAAATTAATTGAACGTAAAGTGACATCAATTGAAATCAATTCAAAGTAAATTGAAATTAATTGAAAGTAATTTGACATCAATTGAAAGTAATTAAATTGAAATAAATAAAATCAGTGGAAAGTAAACTGAAAGTAAATTGAAATCAACTGAAAGTAAATTGAAAGCAATTCAAAGTAAATTGAAAGTAAATTGAAATCAATTGAAATCTATCATTTTGTTTATTCCACACTATTGTGCACCCCGGTCCCTTGAAATTTCCACCGTATTGTGTACCCTCATGTAATACATATGGCCAGCTCTCAGAATCTGTGGGTACCATTCCCATGCATGACGGACAACCCTTGTGAGCCCCAAACTCGACGATGAATATCGTTGAATTTTAAGTCCGCCAACTGGACCTAGGGTCATTCCATTTCTGACTTGGTTAGGAGTTATGAGTAAGCAAATAAAGTTTTCTCTAATGGGATATTATCACCCTAGGGTTATTCCGTTGGTGAAAAAACATCCATTCGAAATCATAACTGCTGATTATAGACCCACCATGGCTTAATCAGTTCTCACCTGTTTTCACGAAGCCCACAAACCCCACGGTGTTTCCCACACTTCGTCGCCTAACTTTGCCAAAGAACCCCCAAATTCTTCAGACTTCCTTCCACCTCTTGCTGCATTCGCGACCTTGGTGAAGATTACCGATTAAAGATTACCGAGAAGTAATGTATGATCTGGTTGGTGGTTTTAACCATCTTAAAAAATATTAGTCAGTGGGAAGGATTATCCCATATATTATGGAAAATAAAAAATGTTGGAAACCACCAACCAGTGATATAGTTGGTTTATGATGATGATGATGATGATGATACTACTGAAGCTCTGCTTGGATGATATAGAAGTTCTACATGATGATGATATACTTCGAAGATCAGCCCACGTAGTAACTGGATGGCGTGTGTGGGTCTCGCTAATGGGACAGCCCCACTTTTTGGGTCCTTACTAACCAGGCTTGTCAACCAGTTACAAAGTGGGATGATCCTCCAAACAGGCCAAGAAGGCGTTGATCAACAATGGACAACTTTGAAAGGAAAGTCATGATATTCCAATGGAATCCAGGGAGTACCCCACAAAAGATTGTGTAAATCAGTATCAGTATAAGACAAAAGAGGATGATATTTGGATAAATAAAGAAAGATGCTGTAGGACGATGCAAGAGAATAGAACCTAGCAACTTGCAAATTCTTCTTGGAAATGCCTGGGCAGCTTTTGCTCTGTGCTCCTCCTCCATCGCCGCAGAACTACTAAAGCAGCTCTGTACGTCTGCTTTTCGAGTCGCTTTGAAAGTCGAGAATCTGAATGTTGTTCGGTCTACAAATGCTCTATTTGAGGGTGTACGCAGAATCATGACTGGATTCCTACAATCAGAGTCTTTCCCAGTAAGATTACTATTTATGCCTGGTGGTGGTGGTGGTATATGGGTTATATTGCATATTAACGGACTGCAAACCGGTTACCAAGTAATTAGACTACTTGACTGGGTAATTATACTTGGTGGCAAATCTCTGCCAACAAAATGATAGAACAAAACAGCATCTGGTGAAGCATGCTCTACCCTCTGGTAAACTAACATAACTTTTGAACATCTCCATTTTACATCATTTTAATAGGTAAATCTTCTATAAATGGGCCATCGCTTCCATGACAATGTGAGTTTACCTTAAAGGGTACAGATCTCGAGTATGGATTGGTGCTACTTCCTTTAACGACATGTCTCTATGATTCAGATGGAACATCATAGGTCCATGGGAAAACGGTAATCAAACATTGCCGGAAAATCATCCAAAATTGAGTATGATGATGTTACCAACAAACTCAATGTCCATTTATAGAGGCTTTCCCATGGTTTTCCTATGGCCTTTCCCATGCTTTTCCTCTGGCTTTTCCATGGTTTAAACCTCCATTGAGTTCCAGGATTTTCCATCCACTCCCGAAAAAATGCCGCGGAGTTAGCCTGTGAGACATGAACAGATTGGCCTTTCGAAAGCAAAAACAGCTTAAACTTTAATGTCAACCCCGGATTAATAAACCATGGTAATTATATTAATTAGGGGGGTATTCCGCCAATAGTCATGATTTGATACTTAAATGGCTTAAATGGTACCTTCCCAATTAAACAGCCGTTTGGGGTTTATTAATCCAGGGTTGACATTATGGGCAATTCTCATTTGGATTTGTTCGGCTGAATTATAATCTAAGTACAGTCTTAACGGGGCTGTATGGATGGGATATCGGAATGTCCATTCCATATTAATCCAGGGTTGACATTATATTAAGTGGATATACTAATGGATGATTACCAACGGGTATATCATGGCTATATCCATAGTTCGTTGATACTTGGGAAAATAATCTTTGGGAAAATCATACTTGGGAAAAGAAAAATTTGGCTTAGGAAAATAAAAATTGGCGAACAGTTTGCGAACTGGAAAACGGCTCATACAGGATGGTGCCCCCCAGTTATAAGTTGGTTTATAAACCCCATTAACTATAGTTATATATATCTACCATAAACATCCATAAACCATAGTTATTGGACTTACTAACCAACTTAGCTAACGAACTGGGGCACCACTTTGTACAAACAACACTCGGCATAGAAATAGTGGATTTACCCAGCTAGAAAATGGTGGATCTTTCCACTTCACGACCTTGTTAGTTTACCAAAGGGTAACTAACCATCACTAACCATCATTAACCACTCAGATATATAGTGGATTTACCCATAGAAACAACACTCGGAAATTGGCGACTTGGCGAAAAAAGTTCGGATTCGAACTGTATATTGTAACCAGCGATCAGCCCCGTTGCGTTGACCGTTGACGGTCATTTCTGGCTGTGGTAATCAATGGGAGATCTCCAGGATCCAATACATGCAAGGTGGTGCCCCAGTTCGTTAGCTAAGTTGGTGCAAATAACTCCCATTTCACTATGGTTTATGGCAGATATAACTATAGTTAATGGGGTTTATAAACCAACTTATAACTGGGGGGCACCACCTTGTGGAGGTACGTGTTTACCATATTTCTGGCCATATGAATTGTGCTTTTCTGGAGATATTCCCTGAAATTTAGGCCTTATATATAGGCCTTAAAAAAATGGTACCCTCTGGTTATTTAACATAGCCATGGAAAATGGCCCATTTATAGTGAATTTTCCCATTAAAACCTCCATTTATAAAGGATTTTCTATGGCTATGTTAAATAACTAGATGGTAGGTAGCTCCAATGAATCGGTTCCTGAGTCATGGCCATTGATGGTATTGCGAACTTCGTGCTGGACCCACGCAGATACCAGGTACCCCAGATCTGAAATTCAGTTCCGCCAGGTGGTTTTCACACCTGGTATGCTGCTTTTAAAGACCACCACAAGCTGCCACTTGTCTTCAGAAGAACTAATGATTACCATCTGGTTATGACTAACATAGCCATGGAAAATCACCATTTTTAATAGGTGAACCATCTATAAATGGACCATTTTCCATGGCTATGTCGAATAACCAGAGGGTAACTATAATATTGTTTATATAATGGAACAATGTCGACCACGTTGTTAGACCCCGTTAAGAAGATCATTCTGAGACGAACTTTTGCCTTGCTTCATTCAACAGTAACGCGTTATTCTGTTCTTCTCAAGGATCTCATTTACTGAAAGGGATTTTGAATTGCACTAATTCTGGGATATTCTAGAAATCATCCATTGACACTGGACCAAACTTTTCTGAGTTCCCCATTTACTGGTGCAGTTATGGATTCCTGCTGCTCACATTCCCATTGGTGGGTAAATCTTCGAATTATGAGTAATATCTGAGAATTGGTACCTGTAGAGTAATATCTTAAATTTACCTGCACTTCGAATATTGTTGGTTGGTTAATCTCTGTAGAATTTTTTCAAAGCTGGATCTTGCAGGTATATTTATGAACCAATCTGATTGGTGATCTACGCTCCCCATGATGGTTGGTTTAAGGTTTATATCCCTAATTTTTAGTTGCTGATATATGTATATTGTATACATACTATATATGAGTATATAGTATAATATACATTTATATAGCAAATTTGATTTATTGCCGATATTCAGAACAGTGTTTATTGTTGCAGTGGTTGCTGGTGACGTTCCTACATTCCGCTACTGTTGGTTGTAGCATATCACTAGTATATCCCTAAATAAAATATCATGAATCGTGACATATCATAAAAGAGTTGGTATTTTGTATACGAGTAACATTCATAAGCCAAATAGAAAATGGAATGGACATTCCGATATCCCATCCATACCAGCCCCGTGTTAAGATTGTACTTAGATTATAATTCAGCCAAACAAATCCAAATGAGAATTGCCCATAATGTCAACCTTGGATTAAATGATAAACCCCTAGGCTGTTTAATTGGGAAGGTACCATGTAAGTATCAAATCATGACTATTGGGGGAATACCCCCCAAACTAATAAACCCTAGTTTATTAATCCGGGGTTGACGGTATTGTGGTTGCGAATGGGAAAGCCGGCAGTTGCAACACCCGATCGCATCATAGGCATCTGCTCGCCCCTGCACAAAAGCACCAGCGACGGACACGCCATGCTCGCCACGTCATCGCCCCACAACGCGTTGCTCAAAGCGCAACGCGCTGCGGCCGGAAACTGTACAGCCCGGCGGTCGTTTTTTGCCAACGAAAAAAATAAATGGCAAGAAATAGTTGATTTACCCATTAAAAATGGTGATTTTCCATAGTTATGTTAGTTTACCAGAGGGTAGGATAAACTGGCCAAACTTGGATACCCTGCATTGATTTGTTGTAAGCAGATTATGCGCATGGACAACGAATCCGACATTTTCCATTCAGGGTTGGCGCAGATTATGCATTCACGCGAATCAGGCATCCCTAATTAGAGTATCAACCACAAAAAAGGGGGGCCAACATAGAAATCATCTTAAATAGTTGTGTACCCAACTCTATAAACCGCAAATTGGGATGGTTTATAACAGTATAACTGTGTATACATGTGTATACCATATTGACAAGGAGAAAATGAGCAAAGAATCAACATCAACAAAACACATGGGATGCTGACCCTCTGGCTGCAAGCCATCCTCCAAATGTTGATGATTTTCCCAGGAAATCGGTAATGATGACACCATTCATGACTTTATCCCCATGAATCAGCAAATTTCTGCTGGTTAAATCAGGTTTCATCACCATAAATTAGATGGTTTTTCATCACCATCCAACGGATGATTGTTAACCATCGTGATTGTTAACCATCAATTTAGGTGACAAGAAACATCATCATTTTAGATGATCCATCATTCTAGATGCTTAAATCACCTCATTTTAGATAGTTAAGTCACCAGTTCTGGTTCCAATCCTGGGGTTGGAAAAGAAGCACCTCAGCCTGTCATCGAAATTTAAGAGGGCAATATAGGCAGCAAATGATCTTAAGGTGCATAACTAATTCAAAACTTATTTTAGTAACCCCAAAAAGATACGCAGAAACGTGATTTATCACTATCTAAGTGGAGTGTAACACGATCTCTTTTTGGAGTTACTCTAACTACCAATAACTTAACCACAAAGTGGTATGGACAACAACTGGATGATCCCCATCTCTGCCAGTCTACTTGCCAGTGATGTTGTCAGCATGGTTTTGGTATAACCAGGCGACCGGTCCAAAGAAGTCATGGGTAGAAGGCGCCACTGGTGCAGCTTTTGATTTCTCGCGTGGATCCACGGACCCTGCGAGGTGCTGAGGTGTCTCCCTATGTGTGGTTTCTGCACATGTATTTCTTGGCTAAAGCCCCAGTGCTAGGCTTTTTCTTTAAGTGTCAATTTTCATCACTTCTATTGAATTACGTAATTAAATAGAAGTGATGAAAATTGAGAATTATTACATAGTGGCTCCCAGTTGTACCATTAACTATAGTTTTAAGTAGTTTGTGAAGTTATAAACCATTTTAGGTGTCTCCACTTGTATCACTGCCGTGCTTAATGTTGATTACTGATTACACGACAAAGACTCATGTTATCTCATGTTCACCACCTGAAGGCTTGAAACCTCATTCCTCACACATAAATCCTGATGTAAATGGCTTGAATGCCGTATCATTTTAGCTTAGAAACCGCGTATTAATGGTTGTTAATATTGCTTTAACGTCTCACCTTTATTGGTTTCCTACCTTATTATTGCCCATTTCAAGTGGACGTGGTCTTTCAACCCCACTGGCAGGATTTATGTTAGGCATTGCTTCAATCCTCGTTGTTCTAGCTGAAATTCCTATTTCTCCTGATATCTTTGAACTGGTTGGTTCCCAGTTGCTCTGCCAAAAGTTTAACTTCTAGCGGATATGTACAAGTTGCCATCATCTCCAAAAAACACTAATGTGGTAAACCCGACACTAAACCACGTGAGCTGTTTGGGAGGTGATGGTAATTCAAATTATTGGGTTTACTATATAAATTAACCATCTGATTTTTTTGGGTTTACATATCTCATTGCCAATCTTAGATACCCTGTAAAAAACTAAATTCTTTGCTGGTTAGTAGATATTCCCATTAATACCAAAAGACTAAAGGATTAAAGTATCCATGTAAGATTGACCTAGATCTGGGGGAATGGGTCAGTGGATCCTCGAGGTCTTGTGCCCCTTGGTTTACCGATGACCCCGATCTGCGATCCGCGATGCCCCTTGACATCAGGCGGAGGCATCACGCGGGCGGCCCGTCAACCCGACGGTTTAATAATGGGTCCATTTAAGTATCATATTGTTACTATTTAGCACGGTACCCCCACAATTAAGAAACCGTGGTTTATTAATCTGGGGTTGACATTGTAGTAGGATTGTTGCATCTCAGGAACTGCTGATGAGCTGCCATAAATTCAAGTTCTGGTAGCTTCTGGTACTCCTTTTCATGCGGTGAGCTCAAAACCTCTTCGAGCTAAAGCTATATACGCGTCGTAGTACTGAAACTCCATCCGAGCCCTAAGAAAGGAACATAAACTAAATACTCTCTGGTGATTTAACGTAGCTATGGAACATGGCCCATTTATAGTTGATCTACCTCTTAAAAGTGGTAATTTTCCATAGCTATGTAAACGTTTACCAGGGGGTATCTGGATAAAAATGATGGCAAAAAAATACTTAAGCATTTGGTTTTCTGTGGTGCTTCTCGGCAGCATCATCCGGGACATGCTTATCTTTGGGAAGTCCCAAATGCCCAACGTGGAAGTCACCAGTCACCATCCCCTGTCACCATGGATTTTAGGGGATTGATACCGTGATACCATCCCCAGTCATGGTAGGTTTATGGCAGCCAGGGCCCACATGAATAGATTTCGCAGTTCCCTTAGGTCTGATACGAATAGATCCCCCGTCGCAGATGTGGCGGGCGCTTTTCCGCTGTCAGACAGCGACATTGCATTGGACAGGTTTCTACGCAAAAGCATCATGGCATCAGTCCGGTCCATGCTTTCACAAACCAACTGGATGTAAATATAGAGTTCCTACAGATTCAACATATCTTTCCAAGATTCAACAGCCGGTTTTTCCCAAAGATGTTTCGCCAGTTATTTAGCCCTTTGGACAAGAATTGTTTTTTTTCAACACACGGCTACCATTGCCAGTGAGTCGAGTAGTCTGAAGACGAATTACTCGGCGATGCCACTAGAGGTCCCATGTCTGATGCCTTGCAACGTGCATATCCTTTATAGAACCCTACTATCCCATACTATCCCATACTATCCCATACTATCCCATACTATCCCATAACCCATAGGATCCGTGTATGGTATATATGCTAACATTTGGGGTATATTGATGGTAAATGCTCCCATATATAGCATACATGGATCCTATGGGTAATAACCATCCGAAAAAAAAGCTTTTCCTCCAAGTCATCAAGTTTCAATGGACCTGGGGAATCATATCATTTGGGACCATGTAAGAAAATGCAAAGCTACAATTTGAAAAGTCATTTCGTTCATTCCCTCTGGTAATTTCACACACACACACGTCACCATTTGGAATACTGTAGGTAAATCACATATATAGCTATGGAAAATCACCGGAAGAGGTAAATCGTTTTAAACATGGGCAATTTTCCCTAGCGTTCAGAGGAGGTTTCTGCTTTTATCAAAGGATCAGATTTGTTCTCTAGATCCCCTCCAAACTCCAGTGATCAAAGACCTTTCTTCTTCCTTATTTATTCTCCATCATCTCCTGTTTTCCCAACTTCTTTGGTCTTGACCCAATATGAACCAGAGCAACTATGTTTAGCTTTCACATCAGTTTCTTTTTCCGAATATTTCAAACATTTGCTGCATTTGCTGATCAAATTAGTGATTCCTGAATTTTCCCTATAGATATTGCAAAACAATTTTCATCACCCATGATGCCGAACACCACCAGCCACAGCAAATAACCGAGGTGAGACTCCCATGAGGGCAGAGGCTGAGATAGACAAAACCGCCTATTTTTTGATAGTGTTGGTATATTATCCTTTTAATATGTGTTTGTCGTTTCTCTCTTCTATAGTTAAGGTTGAAAAAACATGAATAACCCCTCAAAACTAAAGGTGTTCTAGGGTCATGTTTGATGTTTTCCACAATGAAAAACACAGATTGACTATCACTCATCGTGAGTATATGCATCAAGTCGTGCACAATCGTACCATCTAAGCCCCAAACACACATATATTTAAATATATAGATATATATATATATAAGAAACAGGTGGATTGTATGGCTGTTCACAAGCTATAAACCCCAAGTTGGAATGGTTCATTATCCATGTTTTGTATCGTCCGTTGGCCACATGGTCTGTTTCATATTCGGCTGCAAATACCAACAAAATCAAATGCTTTTATGTATGATTGCAAAAACTGGATAAAGATAGAAAAACACATTTCTATATCATCTGTACATGGAAAAACTTTACATGGAATAACCACACTTAGCTGACCTACAACTAGGTTTAAGTCAGGTCAATCCCAAGTTTCTGTGATTCATTTCCAGGTTCTACCAGTTCAAAAATGAAAAAAACAACTTTCCTGGTCAAATTCCAACTTGTTCCTTCTTGCAACATCTTTTTTTGCTGGCTGAAACCCAAAAATATGTTCGTCAATTTGGTTCATCATCCGAGTGGGTTGAAAAAGACCGCAAACACATATGACCCAACCAGAAGGGGATTCCGATTTAATCGATGTGATATCGAGTCAGGTAGAACTAACCCATGTACACAAAACACTTGAAGCTTTTCTCAAAAATGAGTAATTTCCATTCATATTCCACTATGTAACTATATAATTTCCCCGTGATATCCCATGAAATTTGCCATTTTTCAATATATCACCTGTGTCTTGGACCCCGGAGTCGTCTCACCAAAACATGCCGCCGTGGGGGGGCTTGATGCGCTTGGTGGGACGGGGAAAGGCGATCCGCACGCCGTCCTCGCGGAGCTCCGGGATTCGTTGGTGGAGACTTGCCCCGATTTCTCCCCAGTTATCAGGGGTAATTACTATTTCAATGGTGATTAATGGTGATTTATGGTGATTTTATGGTGGTTTAATGGGATTTACCCTCTGGTAAACATACAAAAAACTATGGAAAATCACCATGTTTAATGGGTAAATCCACTATGAATAGCCATTTTCAATAGCAAACTGTTAGTTTACCAGAGGGTAATTCATATGGAGGTTTCCATAAATGAGGTACCCCAAGCTCGATGGTTGATTTCATGGAAAATCCAAGAATAAAATGGATGATGACTGAGGCTACCCATATGACTTAGGAAACAAACATATGGAAATCAATATTGCATATTGTGACAAACATATAGTCACTTAGGTTACATATGGAAAGTCCAAAGGGGGAATTCTAAGTGACTTCGAACTTATCCATACGTATCCTGTTTTTTTTGATCAATGGACTATGGCTGATTTATGGGTGATGAGCTACTGATTATGGATGCGGAGTTCTATGGTTTCGTTTTTAACTTTAGGTTATATAAACACCTTGAGGTTCATATGATTACTATGAAAAAATATATTGGGTCGAACGGGATTATGATGGGGAAACCGACCAGACATAAGCTTTAAATGGTTGGTTCTGCGAGAAAAAACATTAGTTCATAGGGTTTTCCTGTAGATTTTCCGGCAACGAATTCCGGGAATGATGAAAAATAGCATCTCCTAGACCCTCCAAATACTCCCGAACGTCGTTGAAGTTACTCAGTTTTATGATGTTTAATGTGTACTTGGAGGGTTTAGGCTGGTTGACAACTGATGAACAAAACATAGGCATGTCATCTATAAATGGATGTGTTCATGGTGATTTGCAGGCGACTGGGACAAATGGGATGAAGTCCACGTCGGGAGTTGTGGGCAAATGGGCACATTCGATTCTACATTCGGTTCCATCTGCAACAGATTGCAACAGGGTACCAGCTGGGTCCTTCAAAATTGTTTTTTCTAATTAAATGAAACCATTCAATTTTCTGTCTTTGGTAGCAATTCCTCCGACACGTTGGCCATGAAATGGGGATCGTACCCATGGGTCTGCAAGACGCAAATATCTAGGGGGGGCACTGGGCCAGTTTCAACTGCGTTTCACTGCAAATTAGCGAACTTTAACCAACCTATTTTCCCAAGAACAAAGATGATGATTTAGCAAACAGCAGAAGATCTGGACTTGAACACCAACAATGGCAGCAATGGTGATGCACACACAATCATATAATTTGACACAATTGGACATTTTGCCAGTCAGGATGGGGATCGCTAGGTGGATTTGCCAGCCAGAACTAATGGAACCACACAGTTGACCCTCCAAATATCAAAGTTTGACGTTAGATTTCTCTAGTACATTTCCTCCCAATTCAAGGACTGCCGGTTGTGGGCAATGAAATAGTCAATGGATTCAGTTGAAGGTTTAGTCTGCAGAAAATCAATGCTGTGAATCCGCCGGCCCCGGCTTTGGCATTAGCCGGGGCGGCACCCAGGTAACCTCGGGCGGTGCCTGGGCCCAAATCTTTCTTTTCTTGGGGTTCAGCTCCTCGAAACGCTCATTTTGTAAGATTGTCACCATTTTTGGATTTGGCGCTTGGTCATCATGTTGCGTCGCAGGTGCGGTGCTTCGGATGCCTCGAGTTCATTTTTCGTACCAGATGCACAACACTTTAGACATCTCGACTAAACAGAAGCTGAAACTGAGGTATTTAGAAGATGGTTTTCGCATTTTCAACTTCCACTTTTCCTGGTGCCCGCAGCACTTTCTGATATAATTTCCAACATGTGTTTGCGCAACGCTCTCCTCACTTTGAGACTGTTGCTTTCGTTGTGGCGGAGCTCACTTTGATATTGCTCGCGGAACCAGCTCGTCACTTTTTGCATGTTGCATCGCTCTCGTTGTGGCACGGTGCTCATGTCGGTTTCTTCACACACATCTTGTAGAGGCCCTTGTGAGAAGATCTTGACAAGATTCCGGTGAAATCTTCTAAGGGGTTCTTGCATGCAGGTCTTGAAGATGCCCTGTAAGAGAGGTGCTTGTATGAAAGCTCTTGTATGGTGCTCTGGGGAGCTTCTTTGTAAAAGATCACGTAAGATTACTTTAGAAGTTCGTTCTATGACGGTCTTGGTGGGATTCTCTTACAGATCCTGGCATGTAGATCTAAACCACGTATCTTGTAGAGTTCCCTTGTGAGAAGATCTTGCGGAGATCCTGGTCAAATCCTCCAAGACGTCAAAGCAATGAAGATCTTGAGGATGCCCTGTACGAGAGGTGCCTGTATGAAAGCTCTTGTAGGATGCTCTGAGGAGGTTCTTGCGAACTGTTCTTGTAAGATCCTCCCTTCTTGTGAGGTTCTCTGTGAGGTCCTGGTATCAAGATCTTGTAGAGGTTCTTGACTTGTCAAAATGTGAGCCGCCGTCAAAATCAATTTTCACGCTTGGTACAAAATAGAAGTTATCCGTTAAGTTTCGGGGGGCCTATCGGCCTATCCCTTTACAATGTTTTGTTCAAATCAGCACTTAACTAGTGCAAAAAATGCAGCGAAATCGGCTTCAACACAAATTAGTGGGATTAAGGCCTGTAAACTGCCGGGGATGGATCAAGGGGCGCTCGTTGTCTTTGTGTTTGAAATCATGCGGGGGAACTACCTAAGCACATGTCAACTCCGAACTAGAATGACAGTAATTGATGAAGATCAACGGTTCCCAATGGTTATAAGATTAGTATTCAAAGAAAATGACAAAGGGTCCCCTCGCCCTTGTCCCAGTTTGATTCAGCCATGGCGTCAAACACCTTATGCTTCCCGGCTCCAGAGCGAAACTGAAGATGGGACATCATCGTTTCAAAAAAGAAGCGTTCGTAGCTATGGCTCCCCTAGTCTCAAAACAACCTGACCGCCTAGTGTTGAGAAACTGTTCACTTTTTTTGTTGAGCCAATTGTTCTTGTTGGGATCAAATGTCCCTCGTCCAGGGTCTCTTTTTCAACAACAACAGGTTATCGCTAGGCTATCGCTAAGGTTATCACCCAGGTTATTACTAGATGAGAACAATTTGATCAAGAAAGGAAAGGAAAGAGGAACGTGGGACAAAAATGCAAGCACGTGAAAAAAAGGAAAAAGGAAGGAAGGCACCAGAAAAAACGAAGGACAAAGAAAGGACCAATGGCGCCTTTCGCGCCGCCTTTGTTCCGGGCTTTCTGTGCCTCCTCTTTCTTTTTCCTCTCTGCCTGCCGCGGCGCCCCATCCGCTGGCTGGCTGCGTTCACGACAGGACAGTTTCTGCTGCGGGCCGAGCCTCGGCCTTCTTCTCTTCTTCAGCACGCTTTTTCTGTGCTTTCTTCTCCGCCCGTTCTGCGGCTTTTGTGGCCTGCACGGCGGGGCGTTGACTGTCTGTTGCTTTTTCTTTCTGTGTGTTTCCTCGGCCTCCGCAGTTTGGGCGTCGAGGCTCTGGTGGACTGGCTTCAGTACCAGCCAGGCTTGCACCTGGGGTAGCCAGTTGAGCGCTTTGGCCTCGGTTGGCGCAAGTCGGTGCGCGTCGCCTCTGCCGCTCTCTGGTTTTGTGGCTGGCGGGCTCAGGCCCGCGCCAGCTGCTCCACTAGCACTGCGGCGTTTTCGGGCAACAGCGGGTTTGGAGTCGAAGGCACTAGCTGCTCCAGGTTCCACAGCCCTGGCGAAAAGGAAGGTGATGTCCAAACAGGACGTATTAAGTTACTCGGACGCTTCCTCGCTCTAAGTCTGCCTGATCACCCTGCAAACGAGTTTGGCGTGGACAGTTGGCCAGCCCACCCGGCAAGGCGGGACGACCCTTGCCTGGCATGTGTGGCCGGGAGCACCATGGGTCCGTGGGTGCGGTGCTGCTTCCGGTGGGCTCTCTTTTTAAATTTTGGCTTTTTAAATTTTGCCCCCCTTGTTCAATTTTGGCTTCTGCAATCCGTGCCGGGACCGCCGGTTGTGGGCTGCTGGAAGCCCTCTGCCTTTTGGCCGCCGCCACCTGCAAATGCTTCTGTTGGTCTAAGGCAACTTTTCGTAAAGAGATCGTGTGTCGATGCCTGCTTTGCGTGGGCCCGCACGTGACGCTCACGCGTCACGGCGTTGTTAAACAAAAAGGAAATAAACGGAATTCAGAATTGGATTTAACAGACTTCGGTTAAAATCAACTTTGATTTACTTCAGAAATCAACTGCATCTAATAACAAAAAAGGAAAAAGGAAGGCAAGACGTCGCCTGCCTCAGAATCCCTCCGGCCTTCAGCTGAGAAGGGGGTTGGCGGCACCAGGGCGTTAGCCCGTTCTATATTAGCAAGGCAATGACATAAACCGGCCATAGAAATTAATGGTCTCAATCCCAAGCATGTAAATAAGATCCGAATAAACACATCAGAAGGAAAGCAACTCATCTTTCCTGGATGGTTCCCAGCTCCCCTAAGTTGGCCGAGCTTGTAGTGCTTCGGTATAGATTACCAACACACATTCAAAAAAGGCTTGAAGCATGAGGAATGGCTCGGAATCCCCATCTTTCTTGGTTATTATATCCAAAGTGCCGTTGCCTGAATCCCATTTTTTACTCCTTTAAACCTTTAAGCTCTGTGTTTTGTATGTTTGATGGTTCACCAACCATCGGGCTGAACTGTATGGTGTTTCGCAAGCCTGAAAACAGGTGATTTTTCGAGGGGTTCCCTAGAAACCATACTCTTTGGTGACATTGGCCCACAAGGCCATTGTTATTCGTGATGTTTACTCAGATTTTTCCCTCTTTGATCCCCAATTTTCCTCCGTAAATCTTCAATTTAGTTGGCCAATGTTGTTTCATATTGGTTTATATTTGTGTTGTTTTAACTCGTTTGATTACCCAACTTGTTGGTCAAGAAAAACGACCCAACCAGTTCACATTTATCCGGCCTCCCTGCAACAAGCGTGTCCTGAAAGATGATTGGCTTATACGCGTCAGGTACACTTCGGTGCATCACAGGACTGTTCCTGAGGATGGGTCCCCCCATGGTGCCTTGGGGAACCCCCATGACTTAAGAAACACCAATGACTGACGGACGTTTTTGGACGTTTATGGCAGATATATCATGATCGAAGGAAGTTTAGAAGTCAAATTTCCGACAATATGGACAGATAAAAAACAGAGACGGGAAGAGTCAGAGAAGAGAAGAGAAGAGAAGAAGAAAGAATATCAAAAAAGAGAAAGGCTCAGAAGAAAGAAGATCCAAGTGCGCAAAAAGGTAGGAAAGTCGCAAAACACTGTGTTTTTCCAATGATTTGTGGCTCCGGCGGGTCGAAAAGTAGGCTCGCTAAAGCGGGGGTGTGGAGCCATGTGGCCAAATGATGGATGAAAAATTGCATGCCATTGTGGCGCGAAGCACATTTGCAAGTGAACAAGCTAAAAACATCTCACGTTCTGAGCACTTTTGGACGTTGAGATGTCGAAAAAGTGCAGGCCGTTGTGGCGCGAAGCACAAGTGCAAGTAAAAAAGCTAAAGACATCTCACGTTCGGACCACTTTTGGAAGTTGAGATGTCGACTTTTGGAAGTTGAGATGTCGAAAAAGTGCACGCCGTTGTGGCGCAAAGCACATTTTCAAGTCAAAAGTGCAAAAACACTGAGGGGTTCGGAGCACTTTTGGACGTTCAGATGTCGTTTTGCGTGGCAGGCGCAAGGGATTGTGCACGTTGTCAAAAGTGAGCAAAATGTGAGGGTTTTGTAACATTTCCAGAAACGATGTCAGGCGTGGGACATTTGAAGAGGGTCTGCAAAGATGCATTTGCGTGGCAGGCGCAGTACAAAAGACATGTTCATCAGAGCTGTTAGGAGGTCCGGGCGCTGATTTCCTGAGAAGGGTTGCATTTTGGAGCATCAGATCTTCAGGTTTGCTGAGATGATTTTGCGTGACAGGTGCAACACTTCGTATGGCCCGGCATCACTTTTTCGTGGCAGGCGCAGTAGTTTAGACAGGTGGAGTCGAAAAATCGCTGAACGCATCGGTACGAGGCCGTCAGCTCTGCACTCAACTTTCCATTTTTGAAGGAAGTCTCGCAGAATTGCTTCGTTTTTGATGTTGTCAACGGAAAAAAATGAGGAAGTCTCGCAGACTTGCTTCGTTTTTGATGTTGTCAACGGAAAAAAATGAGGAAGTCTCGCAGAATTGCTTCGTTTTTGATGTTGTCAACTCAAAAAAATGAGGAAGTCTCGCAGAATTGCTTTGTTTTTGACGTTGTTAAGTTCAAGAATTGAGGCAGTCTCGCAGAATTGCTTCGTTTTTGACGTTGTCAAGTTCAAGAATTGAGGCAGTCTCGCAGAATTGCTGCGTTTTTGATGTTGTCAAGTTCAAAAACTGAGGACGTCTCGCAGAATTGCTGCGTTTTTCGCAGAATTGCTGCGTTTCTGATGTTGTCAAGTTCAAAAACTGAAGTCTCGCAGAATTGCTGCGTTTTAAAGCTTGCAGATAGACAGATAGACAGATAGATAGACAGACAGACAGATCGAGAGAGAGAGAGAGATAGATAGATAGATAGATAGACAGATAGACAGATAGATAGATAGATAGATAGGTAGGTAGGTAGGTAGGTAGATAGTCAGAGAAAGAGAGAGAAAGAGAGAGAAAGAAGGCTTGAAAACCAACAAACATAACTGGGGGACACCTTGGGACTATTTTCCAGGGTTGACTTAAACCACTTTGTATCAACAGCCATCTGCAACGATCCCCAACTGTGCACTTGTGCGATCCGAGTTTTTGCTACTTGGGATCATCATCATCCCAAGTATGGAGGCAGATAAACAATGAACATATACCAGCCATTTATTTTTGAGTTGTGAAGCTACTTCATATGATACATACAGTTTTGAATGAACCAGACAAAAACAAATATGAACATCATTTGCTCAAACTGCAGCATTTGAGTTTGTCTGAAGATAGGATCCTCCGGTTTCACCAGCTAACAAGACTTTTTCCAATCCCCAGAAAACTAACATTACGACCCTGCCATGAATGGGGGTTGGAAAATTGGAAAACCACTTTTTCCTACAAATGACAGAGTCTAAGGGTGTATGTAGTTCGGCAGATTGATATATTCATTAAACTTGTTTTTTTTAGTACTCTTGGTCAGTTTAACATAGTTATGGAGAATTTCCCATTTACACATGATTTATCTATTCAACCTGGTGACTTTCCATAGCAAACTACTACACTACAGTACCAGAGAATATGAACTATTGACTTTTCAAATGTATATTATGTATTATATATATATATATATCAAGTAAATATAAATTAATATAATAAGTGGTTGGTGGTTTCAACCCCTCAGAAAAATGTGAGTTCGTCAGTTGGGATGATTATTCCATTCCCCCCCAAAAAATGTTCCAAACCACCAACCAGTTAATATGTGTGTAATTGAATTACCCTCTGGTAAACTAACAGTTTGCTATTGAAAATGGTCATTTATAGTGGATTTTCCCATTAAAAATGGTGATTTTCTATAGCTCTGTTAAATTACCAGAGGGTACAGTATGTGATTTTAAGTGGGATTTGACATGATTGAATCACAAGATATTACAAGTCAATTTTTTCCCTCCATGATCTCCGCAAGCTCTGTTCTGGATCCCATTTTGCGTGCTTGGTGCTCCCATCCGGTGCCAGGACACCGATAGCGCTCCATGTGCTCCATAAAGCCTTGATGCGGACCACTCAACTTCACCTGACATGGAAACCATGGGAAAAGCCAGCCGATTCTTTTGGAGTAACCATCTGGATAAAAAAATACCATCTGAAACTGAGAAAAACCATACAACCATCACAATAAACTCCTGAAATTTGGGGTATAACTGGTATAACCATCTGGATAAATGTACTTCCATAGTGAAGATATCAACAATCAGACTTTGCCGAAACACTTTAGATCTCCCAACAAGAATCACAAGAACATCAATGACTTACTTCTAGCATTTGAGCTTTTTCCAAATCATGAATGATATTATGGAACCAGCTTTGATATTCTGGAAACAAGCATATATTATATATACTATATGTGCACACAATGTATCACGGCGTTCTGATCTAGAAGCAGTACAGGTAATTTAAAGCAAACACAAGTGACATCATCCCAATCGTTTCATTGATTTATTCAATGGGCTTTACGCACTCGGGCACCTAGGGGCAGCCCAGGAGTCAAGGCTGGTAAAATTGGAAGGGCTCCATGTCAGGTTTTCCAATTGGATCCAATTGGTACCTAACGGAAGGTCTAAGACCAATAGAACAGACATATACATCTCCCAAACTGGTCTGATATCACGGTACCTCTTCTGTAGCTACATGGGCCATTAAGATAACAGCTGGGATGTCGTTTTATACCTTTGAATAGGGAGGAGCCAGTCAAAAATCAGAGCAATGGGGCGTCCTGAAGTTTTAATTCCGGAGACAACCACCTTTATATCGATGTTCGTCATGCAAATAAGTCGACATGTATTGTCATTAAAAAGCAAGCATGATAATTATGTGTACAATCTAGATTTTTTAGAAACATACGCTCTGGTAATTTAATGTAGCTTATGGAAAATCACCATGCTATAAATAGGTCAATCATCATAAATCACCGAACTAAATAGGCCATGGCTTCCAGGACTATGCTAAATAACCAGGGGGTAGAGTTTTCCCATCCCAACAATCGTCATTTCAACCAATCATCAATTTTCTATGGTAGAATATGGTTTTCGTTTGAAACCACGAAGAAGTTTTTACATGTTTTTACATCACTGGTCACATACCCAGCAAAAATATCCATGATATCTCCATTTTAGCTGGTGAAGTCTCCATTTGAGCTGGTAAAATCACCATTTTTCATGGTGAAATCCACATTTTTCAGTGTGAAATCACGATTTTTCATGGTGAACATTGGTGAACTCACCATTTCGGACCCCACCGCTGCGCCGCTGCGCCTCGCAGACTTTGGAGGAAGGCACGGCCCAGTCGCAGAAGCCTTCGAAGCGGCGCCACATCTGGCGCAAGGTCTTGGTATTGCCTCGGTGGACCAGGTGTTCAAAATCCTTGGCGAAGATGGTCTGGTTGGTGGTTTTAACAATCTTGATTTTTTTTGTCAATGGGAAGGATTGTCCCATATATTATGGAAAATAAAAAAGGTTCCAAACCACCAACCAGTGGTTGATTTCACTTGAGTGTTCAAAATCCCTCATTCCAAATACTGGTTGGTAAATGAAGATGCCCGTTTTTTTTTTCGGATTCTCATCCCAAATATACAAAGACTATAGTGACTATAGTATAATGCCCTATAATTAAACATCAACCAACAGGAGTTTTGAACTTTATCTCACTTGACTTCTATGAATAATGATAGATCTATTATAGTATTCGTGGAAATAAAACAACATCACTGGGGGCACCTTGAAGGTCGGAGGCTGAGGAGGTTTGGCGGCTTTGGAAAAGCTGGGGACCGTTGTGAGCCGTACATTTTTTTTGGGGACTCTTGGGTAATGGGATATGACCATGAAAAAGAGTGAGTGTGATTATTGTTATCTGGTTGGTGGTTGACCTACCCTCTGAAAAATATTAGTCAGTTGGGATGATTATTCCCAATATATGGGAAAATAGAAAATGTTCCAAACCACCAACCAGGCTATTATCAGGTTTGGCCTAGTAACTTGGTAAATTGACCATGTATTTTGTGAATTATCTATGTGAAAATTGTGAATTTAGATGTAAAGGTGTGAATTTGGATGTTGAGAATGGGATGATAATGAGTGGTTATAATATAAGCATAAGTTATAGGGAATCTACATGATGTCTATATTACTGTGTGGTTATGACTCAAAAACTTGGGACCCAGATGGTACCGGGTAAGCTGGTTAATAGATGTTTATTCCCCTAAATTAAATATGCTAATAATGGGTTCTGACCCATGCCCATATGATTTCATTTGCTATACTGGGATATACCCATGAATAATAGGGGTTATGACCATGAACATTGTTATTGTTATTATAGAGATTGCATATGATGCCTATGTATGCCTATGTATGCCTATGTATGCCTATGTATGCCTATGTATGCCTATGTATGCCTCTGTGTTTATCACCCAACAACCATCATTTATCAAATGATCATTTTTAGTGCTTAAAAACCCCTTTCTTCTATGGTCATGGGAGTTTTCATGTTGTTGGTCATCCATGTCATTTCATTGAAATCTTTACAAAGGTTCTAGAATAATCCCCACTACTGGATTGATGAGCATCCCCCAAACTGAGCAATTCACATGAGTTCACCCAAGTTTTGACCATGTTTCAATGTCAAAGTAATTTGTTTGGAGGTATTTCCGGGGAGTTTAAGAGGTTCCCAAAGGATGAATTGTTGAGTTTATATCATGAGTTCACTAGCAAAGACGAGGAGATCAAGTGTAGAAGATTTCATCAGCAAATGGGCATTTCATTAGCAAATATGTGAATATTTAGCTCGGAAAAAAACGCAACCTAACATTGAAAGATGAAAGCTGTTGATAAATCAATCGATCAATTTCTGCTCACTCCCGGACTCCCGGCCAGAGGCGTCCCCAGCGGCCTGTCATGTGGCCTTTCAACCCGCAAATAGTGATGGGCCCAAATAGAATTCGATGTTCAAATAGAATTACATCGTTAAACAAAACTGCACCAGAGCTTTGAAAAAAAGCGAAGAGGGAGAGGAAAACAGCGCGACTGCAGCCTTGATAGTGGGGTAGGATTGTTGCAGCGTGACGAGGGAATTGTAAGGGAAAGTAATTGGTTCTGTAACATTGCCAGTGATTCCCCCCAACACTGCAGCTGCATGAGGCTCTGGTGGTGGCTTTGATCAAAACTCAGGTTTGATCAGTTTGAACAAAGATTCGGGGTCCAGGCAAAAGCAGCATAACATCTTTCAACTGATCCGGAAGCTCTTCTAGCCCTTCCGATGCTGTAAGAATCGTCCGTCATTCATTACTGGAACCCTTCCGCAGGATGCCACAACCGATTTCAACGCTGCAAACTGAAGCCAGAATCAGCATCAAACTCATCATCAAACATCAGCGATCTCCCAAGTGATCACAAAACATACCAAAAGGCGGACAGGTAGACTCATGACACGTTTCACCATTTTTTTGGTTCCATTTTCTGGGCCGTGATGTACAAGTCAGTTTACAAATAGAACTGTACATATATTTATCATACCCTCTGGTAAACATACAAAAAACTATGGAAAATCACCATGTTTAATAGGTAAATCAATGTAAATCAACTATTTCTATGGGCCATTTTCAAGTTCGCAAAGTGTAAACGTCTCCCAGAGGATCACCATTAAACACCCGCAAATCACCATTAATCACCATTGAATGGCATTAAAGCACTGCAATTGTATTTATCATAACCCTACCTTCACCTACCAACTTCGCTAAGAAAATCATGGCGCGTCACAGAGATTCACAAAGGCGTAGCCCAAGTTGGCGTCTCGGCAAAAGTCCATGGGCAAATAGACGAAATCAAAGCCTGGCGCCCCCCGCCCGGCTCCCTGACATCTATCTGTATATATAGTGATTTGTTAGACCTTCCAGGATGGTGCCCCCCAGTGATGTGAACGTTGGTTTTTAAACCCCATGAATACTATAGTTGTATCTGCCATAAACCATAGTTATGGGAGTTATAAACCAACTTAGCTAACTATGGGGCACCACCTTGTCTCAAAGAACCTATTTATCAATAGCAGTCTCTTATTTATCAATCTTATGGCGAAATTCCAACCATGAAAATGGTTGCCCTATCCTACTGCTTGGTTGATAGGCATCCCTAGAAAACAGAAAAATCATATGCAATCAAGGAACAACACAGCCTGGACGTCCATTTGTACTAGAAAAAAGTGACACGACTTGAAAAGTTGTCGCTTCAACAATTTTGATGACATTTCACAAAGTGGTCGCCTTCCAAAAAAGTAAAAAACATGCTGGTGGATTTTTGCAAAGCGTACTACTGTTTCAATTTGCGCTCGAGTTGCGCAAAATTGCGCTCGAGTTGCGTTATGTTTTTCTGTCCATTTGTGCTTGGTGCCCCTAAAAAGTAATACGGTTTCAAAAAAAACATACAAAGATCTCTATTTTGACAAAATTTGAACGAATTGCTGTATTTCATGCGTTTTCATGAAAACTCGTGCGAAACCATGGGTACGTTTTTTAGTACGAACGGATGTCTAGGAGGTGGTACAAACAACGTAGTATAAGGGCATAATCCATCAGGAATCTGATCCATACATACCCATCGCTGCATTAACAAGGTACGGTATGATTCCCCAGAATGTGCTGAGATTATATAAATTTATGCTAAATCTTCTAAATAATGCAAAATCATGCTTTTTCTGGATAGTCGGTGAGAAGTCCATTGATGATCCCAATATTTTTTTCGGGACTTGGAGGAGAAACGATCATAGTCTACCATGACATGAGTGACCATGCTGTGGATCCATTTGGAGGTCTTTTACACAACGCACATGGAGGTTACCTTCTGGTAAACATACAAAAAAACGATGGAACATCACCCTTTTCATGGGCAAATCAACTATTTCGACTGGGCCATTTTCAAGTTCGCAAACTGTAAACGTCTCCCAGAGGGTAACGATTTGGACGGTTGACACCATTACCCAACGTTTCACCGGGCGGCGCTACATCACTCAGCTGTGGTCATATCAGATAACCCCAAGTCTTGGCGGTTTTTTATGCGGCAATCCGTTGGGTGGCTGGGCTCGGAGTTTTGCCCATCAAAAAGGGTAAACACCCAGCGGGTTGTTCAGTAAATACTATGATCAACATACCAACATTGATAAATATCATCCAATCTCAGCCATCCAGCCTATCTCGCAAACTCTCCCAGAATTGGTTTAAAGGGGGAACTTTTGGGAACCCCCTATGTATGTAAATATCTATATGTATAATATGCTTGGTTTTGCTGTTTCAGGGCTCCCTTCAACAAAGCAGAAAAACAACAGAATCCCTATAGATTCCCACATTGTCTCGTGGGAGATGACTCCGCCATGACTTTTCTTGGGGATGACATCCAACCCATGGATTCCATCCAAGGGACGCCCGGCAAAACCCTTGTCGTCCAGAAGTGTGAGAAGCATGTCGCGGGTGTAGTTATTGGGAAGATTTCGCAACATCACCTGCAGCGCAGCAGGCGAAGTAGCAAAACTACCCAATCCCAATGATGTTGCTGGATTAAGCCTACTGATCCCACAAACGTAACTGGGATTTTTGACCCACTTAGTAAATCGGGTGAGCCACCAAGCATGATCAATATGTATATATATATATATATTCATATCGATTCATATATAATTATATTATATATGTATATTCTAAAAAGGCTAGAGTCTTTGAAAGCTCGACATATCCTTATTTTTATGGCAACACTCACTTACCCTGAACTGTGCAAATATGTGCAAATTAATGGTTTGGAACAGGAGCTACAACTGGTGGCATTTCTATATCGATCTTGGTTGAAGAGTACTGTAGTCCCTCAGACTACCTTTGTTTCCTCTTGAACGTTCATCCCCAACTCCCCAACTTCGCCACTGTTGGTCACGCTTTCTTGAATCCCCATGTTGGCAAGGAAAACCATGTGTGCGTGGCTCAAATGATGTTGTTTTTTTGTGATTAAACATACGGTAACTACATTGAAATATACGGATTTTGATTATACGGAGGAAAGTTTTCCGTGGCTCGCCTGGCCACTTGAAGATTTAGGTTTTATGGAAGCTTTATGGAACATTTATGGATGATGAATGGAGGATTTATGGAGGATTTATGGAGGAAATAGGAGGATTTATAGAGGATTTATGGATGATTTTTAGAGGATTTGTGGAAAATTTATGGAGAGTTTATGGAGGATTTATGGATGATTTATGGATGATCTATTGAAGATTTTTGGAAATAGGAGGATTTATAGAGGATTTATGGAGGATTCATATGGATCGTTTATGGATTATTTATAGAGGATTTATGGAGGATCTATGGAGGATTTATGGAAGATTTATGGAAACTTTATGGATGATTTATGGATGATGAATGGATGATGAATGGAGGATTTATGGGCCCAACCATTTAAATATGCGGAACGGGCCCAGCAGTCTGGCGCGCCCTCCGTTTAAATGTCGTTACCGTAGTTAAATGCACATGAAACGCATTTCAAGTGAGTTGGTCCATGACAAATACCAGGGGTATTTCAACAATAGCCGAATAAATAAAACTGCGAAATCACATTGTGTCCCCCCTCTTGTGGCTATTGTTGACCACTAACAAGGTGATGTGGCCGAGTTGGCCTGCCAGCTTGGGGTTTTTTAGTGAAGGAAATGGCTTTTTCAGCATGGTATGTACAGCCCCAGTTGGGATATGGGGACCCAACTGAACATCCTAGAACTATGGGTATATATCGACTTACTTAGTCTTAGTTAGATAGTTTTTCACTGGAACTGCATTTCCAAGTAGTTCTCCAAGTAGTTCTCCAAGTAGTTCTAAAGCAACATTTTGTGAACCAACAAAAGGGCACCCATTAACGGCCAGCTGGCAGTGGTCTGGTCCTTAATCTCTGGCAAGTCCTGAGAGTCCTGGTCCCAAAGGCTGGAGAAAGTGGTTTCATCCCCTCCAAAATTTTCGCACATATTACGTATACATACAGTATTACCCTCCAGCAAATTAACATAGACCCTGCCAAATAGGGGTTGGAAGATTAGTTTCCATTAAAAATTGGTGATTTTCAGGGTCTATGTCTTTTTACTAGAGGGTGTATATATATATATATATCACATATTCTATAGACATATACAATCTACATATTGTTTTTTTTGAAACATAGCCTCTGGTAAAATTAACATAGCTTTGGAAAATCAGCATTTTACTAGGTAAATCAACTATAAATGGGCCATGTTCAATCACTATGCTAAATTACAGGAGGGCAAATTAGGTTTTGAGTCATTTCCATATACTTGGAGGAGCGCAACTGGGTAGTGTTTGTGGGGTTCTAAACCCACCAATGATATAATTAGTATTAATCCATCCACAAACTGTGCACAACAAATACATAATTGTGCACACCAAATACATATGTGTTTAACTTTGAACCAGAAAACGTTACAGGAATTCCCTAGATAATTGGACAGGAAATTGGGCACATACTCAGTATACAGCAAACATATTTGGTGTTCAACCAAACACATTCAACAATCAAGGTTGTTGTTTCACCCGCAAATTATGTAATATACATTATATATATACATACACCAGCCTGCGCTAAATAGGGATACCGCCAACATAGCGATGGAAACAAAAAAACATAGATTCTTCTCCTTAAACCAAGCCAGTGAGTAGTGAGTCAGAGAATTGTGTTTACCGCTGGCTCTAGAATCGCCATGAAACAAACTTCCGGTCCTATTTCTCCACTATATTCACTATTTATTCATAATCTAATCGTAACGCAACTAACCTGATATGAGGGGTTCATGAAACATCAACTGTTATATATCAACCAGAACTATTTATCAACTATAAACATTCATTAAACGTCTTGACGACTCTAAACGATCTATGGGGGGTTCTGTTCAAGTCTCCGATCAAACTCCAGGATCTCTGATCCCCATTCGGCCAAACGCAGTCCAAGGTTGCACGACTCGGCCAAAGAAGGCATCTACCCTCTGGTGAACTAACATAGCTGTTGAAAATGGCCATTGAAATAGTGGATTTTCCCATGAAAAATGGTGATTTTCAATTGCTATGTTAGTTCACCAGAGGGTACACTTTCATGCAGTTCCAAATTTTGAAAACTTCTACATCTGTCAAAGCCATCACAAAACAGCGAGCCGAAACTGACCTTCCCATTTTAACAGCAGGGAGAATACAAAAACCACCCAGGTTGTCATGATTCATCCAGATCCCTCTGTTCAATAAATCACCATTAACGTCAATATTCGGTGTATAGTTATAGCTGGCTATAATATGTTATAGTTATATCCCATGTGCATATATATATATATAATATGACCGAAAATTTGTCAAATATCACATGATATCCCATGATATCCCATATATCATAAATATCATAAATACCATAATCATCCACAAACATCGCAACCCTGTAGAAAATAGAAACGTCAAACTATACTCAAACCGTGAGAAATTACTCTTCTGTCTACTTCGGGGAATCGTACAAAAACAAGAGCAAATCAACTCGGCAAGAAAATCAACATGACCCCAATCAGCAAGGAAAAAAACACAAACAACTATTCCTGCAGTAATGGCCCTTAACAGTTATAAATGGAATGAACTAACTTTTATAACTAGGCTTCTTAATATTATTATAAGCCCATAAGCATACCCTCTGGTAAACTAACATAACTATGGAAAATCACCATTTTTAATAGGTAAATCAACTATAAATAGCCATTTTCAACAGCTATGTTAAATTATCAGAGGGTAGTTGGGCCATAACTGTGGTATTTTTTATGATTAAATCACCATTTTCCTATGGTTTTCCTATGGTTTTCCTATCGTTAAATCACCTCTAGACATTGAATAACTGAATCAGCGCCAAAAAGGTGACCCGAATCGCGATGGTTGCGAGGATTCGCAGTGAATACGGCCTAGAATTATTGGGTTATTACATATGTTATTATATATTTTATTATATATATATATATATATATATATCCCCATCAATATTCCATCAATATTCCATTGTACATGCCCATTCATAAGCCCTCATTAGTGGTTTTTTAGGCCAGTTCCATGGATCAATCGTGGATCAGCTGGATCAGCTGCAGACTCAATGACTTTCAGCTGAGCATGATATGATAAGTCCAATATCTAGGGTTTATGGAGGTTATATCTATAGTTAATAGGGATTATAAAGCAGCTTATAACTGGGGATTTTCCCAGTTTCATTTAAAAGAAACGCCTTTGATGGTAACAATAAGAATTACCAATGGGTATATCATGGGTATATCTATAGTTGGGTGGATGCTTGGTGGCTCATCCCACGAATCGTAAGCGGATGATATCCCAGTTATGTTCGTGGGATAAGTAGGGTTAATCCACAAACATGACTGGGATATAACCCGCTTATTATCCGTGGGATGAAGCACCAACTAACAACAAGAATCTATTAACTAACAATAGTGAAACCCTAAAAACAATACATGGGTTCAGAATAATTTGGGAAACAATGCCACAATACCGAACCTAGCCACTAATCAGCGTCCAACTTTAGTGGACACGAAAATAGATGAGTAAACATGAGCATCTCTACACTTGGATGGTCTATGTGGAGATATATGAGCAGTGCTCAAAGCCTATGTCGTTTCATGAAAAACTGATGGATTAAGCAGTTGGGGGTTCCGTCCAAATAGTGATACCAATTAACATCCTATTGAAATTGGTAGCCCCCCTATGAACAAAGCAGGAGTTTACTATTCCGTTGACATTTAGATTTTGTGAATGGAAATATGTCCCAATTATAGCCCATATACTCCGTAAGGTGCTGGTATATTTACCTACATAACTGGGTGATGCAAATGTTGGGCAGTCATGTTGGTGTGCATATTCTAGCACCATGGTTCGCATATGGGTAGATGACATTGCCAATCTTAGATACCCTGCAAAAAATGACAAATCCTTTGCTGGTGAATGTAGATATTCCCATTAATACCAACAGACCAAAGGATTAGTTTGTATCCATGTAAGATTGACCTAGATGACTCTCCCCTTTCGATTCCCGTGAATGTTGTGGATTTCCTAGGGGTTGTCACCATGGCAATGACAACTTTGAGGATGCTCGGGGCCCGGTTCAAGGAAGCCGAGGTAGGATTTTTGGGCCACGTTAATAACTATAGACTATATATATATTAGTTTATTATATATACAAGTATATGTTATACGACTATAACTATGGATATGATTTATAGACTATAGTTATGTCATTAGTTTATATGATTATATCATATATCACAATTATTATATCATTAGTTTATATGTTTACGACTATAACTTTGGGTCTCGAACTTTACAATATATATATATACACTATTGCTTCATTGGAACTGCACTTCCAAGAATCCATCAAGTCGGAAAAAAAAACCACGCAGGGTCAGTCCTGCACATCATCATCATCCACACCCGAGCCCTCACGGCTTAAGGGAAGACTCACATGTTGAGTGGCGTCCGGGGTGCTCTGGGGCGTATCCTGCGGTCGGTGAACATTGGAGGAACATCCGGCATCTTAAAGAACACCAAAAAGGGACAGTCAATTCCTACGAAAACAAGAGATCAAGTGCGGTGATATGATTTTTTTGGGGGTTACTATAGAAAGAATGGCGAAATGATGGAATTTCTAGGGAATCACTGTTTGATTTTGCCGGGTATTTACAAGATCCAGCATTTGAAATGATGGATTTTCCCAAGTCACAAGACTTGCAAGACTTGTCACTGGGATTATCCCGTTTCTGATGTTTATTTCGCGCATCGTTGGATCAAGCGGACAAGAAGAACTGTAGAATATCCCATCAAAATCCATGCTTTGAGGTTTATAAACCAACTAACTAGTTAGATGTATTCCCCACAAAGCCAAAACTCATTGTACTTCCAAAACAACTTCGCTTTCATAAATCTCCAATCACAAACGACCAGGATTTATGATAGATCTATGATTAATTCGAGGGGTATTTTGAAGCCAAGGTATTGTACTGGCGCTCCTGATTTCCAGTTCATGGATTATCATAACCCAAAATATACCTATACCATCCTATACCCATATGCGAACCATGGTGCTGGAATATGCACACCAACATTTGCCCAACATTTGCATCACCCAGTTATGTAGGTAAATATATACCAGCACCTTACGGAGTTTTTGTGGGATATATTCAATATAGAGGGCAGTACGTCAGTACGCCTCCGATATATTAATTATCTATCATCAACCAACCATCAATGATCAGTTCTATCCCCACAGTTCCACTGGTTAAACCGCCATGAAAACCCCAATATATTACCCTCTGGTAAACTGACATAGCTATGGAAACTGATGAACATGGACCATTTAGTTCGTTGATTTACCTATGAACATGGTGATTTACCTTGTGATTTACCTATTGAAATGGTGATTTACCTTGTTAAGATGGTGATTTTTCGTAGCTTTTTGTAAACCAGAGGTAAAAACAACAGAGGAAACCCTTGCAAAACCGGTTGCCCCACCGGCCGATTCGATCAACGACGGCCTCGCTGTATCTGCCGGGCTCATAGACCAAGGGTTCGGACAAGATCAGAAAGTCGGTCTTGGCCTGGCTGTGGGAAAAACCTCTGGACTGGCTGTTGGAGAATTGTTGGGATCATGGTGAGAGTTTCAAAAAAAACGTGTTTTTTTTAATTGTTCCCATACAATCCATGTATGGTATATATGCTAACATTTGGGGTATATTGATTGTAAATGTTACAATATATAGAATACATGGATCCTATGGGGTTGGTTAAATGGGATAAAAAACAATAAAAACATGGTCAATCTGTGGTAATCCATAACAGATTTCTTCATCTTGTGCTGCTTCTGGTGAGTTTCCATAGCAGACAACTGATGTAAACTACCCATCCTGTATGGCGATGTCGAAAATGGATTGGCTAACCGGAAAAAATCTGAAAACCGGAAACCATAAAGATATTTCCCACAAACTCAAGATACCCTCTGGTAAACATACAAATAGCTATTGAAAATGGTCATTTATAGTGAGTTTTCCCATTCAAAATGGTGATTTTCCATAGCTATGTTAGTTTACCAGAGGGTACATATGCCCATAATAAACCCAGTTGGCACACTTCAGGGTGCGAGATTGGGATCTGCGGGTCCGACAGAGTGAAATCGATCCACTTACAACTGGAACTGCACTTCCAAGCAGCGGATGATCATTATTTCATTGGGAGTTTCAGGACATATCTGGGCAAATGAGAACAATTCACTAACCTGAAATAAGGTGATTTTTGGCATGGTTCCCTGAATCCAATTCTCATGATTCCAGTGAGGGAGAACAGTGAAGTCATTATAGTTTGGTCGTTATAGTTTACCCAGACGTATGCTACTGGTTGGTGGTATACCTACCCCTCTGAAAAATGATGGAGTTCGTCAGTTGGGATGATGACATTCCCAATATGATGGGAAAGTCATAAAAGCCACCAAACCACCAACCAGGCTAAGTATATGCCATAGAATGCCATAGATATAAGTTGTTTTTTAGGCTGTCCTGGACTCCTGGGCCATCGGCCGGTGGCAAGCCGTTGATGTGTGTAAGTGATGTGGAGATGGGTTTTGCACCATGGAAAGCCCAGCAGAATCTAGGCGAGATCTTCGTGGTTGTTTTCACAGTTTTTGTTGGGTTATTGTTCTGGACGGAAAGACATTAGGGTGCCAGACAAAATTGCAAACAATCTGGCTGGGCAAAAGATCAGAATTCCTAAATCTGAACTCTTTGCCATGTTTAATCCGTAAGTTTGTATCTTTGAATGAATACCTACCATAATCTGAAAGGTGTTTACCCACGTCAACCATCCTAACGAACACAATTACTTTCTTCGAGTGATCCCACTGTTCTGACATAGTTTCTGATATACCATCTTGAAGTGTATATGGCCTATCTATTCTGACATTCTTTGTGGCATATATTCTGTCATTCTTTCTGACATGCAATCTGGCATCTATTCCGACATTCTTTCTGGCATTCCATCAGGTATATCTCCGGAGATTCTTTGTGGTTGAGGTCCGGAGGGGACCAGTTGAGGTCCGGCGGGGACCACTGCGATCAAGAGCTTGCAGTTGAGTTCTGGCGGAGGAGGAGGAGCAGGAGGCGGGAGGCGGAGGAGGCAGGAGGCGGGCGGGAGGCGGGTGGGAGGTGGGCGGAAGGCGGGCGGGACAGCTGACATAAAATCTAGCAACCCTCACCTCACACCTCACACCTCACAGCTAAGGAAAAAGAACATCAAACAACCAAACAACATCAAAAAGAAGTTGAACTTAGACAAAAAACAGCAAATCTATGGATAGAATCCAGAAGCAAACTTATCTTTCCTTAGCACAAAATCATCCATCTGCCAAAATCTGCCCCTGCCTTGCGCATGCGCCGGAAGCATGTCATCAGACCCTGACCTTCCTTGGAATGGTGCTTGGAACGGCGCTTGGTCACGCGCAAGGAGGTGGTACCTAATTTTTTGCCGTGGAAAAAACAACTCCTAATCTGATCCGATTATATGAATTATATGATATACTGATTGGTTTATAGTTATCCCATTTTAATCATTATATGCTACTGGTTGGATATAAACAAATAAAAAAAATGATACTGGTTGGGTTAATTGAATTCTGACTTATAATTATCCCATTATCTCCAACAAACGAGGTAAAATTAGTACAATGCCCTATCGCCAATCGACAGTGCTATATTGCATGGCACAAAAAAGATTGAACACAGCACACACACACACACCATCAATATGTTTATGAACAAATTAAAGGCTGGGGAACAACCTGCATACCCCTGGGTACTGAGTCACCTAACTGATCGTATCCTTCTGTATAACCTAAATGTACATAATCATATAAATCACGAATAAAAAACAAAAAGATCTTATATGACCTTATGCCATGTGCATACATTTTCCATCCAGAATAGGAATTTTCATCCCATCCCATCCATAATTTGACCCTCCATTGGAGCCCAGTCCATGTTTCGTTGATTGGGTGAATTTTTGACACCATCAAACCAGCTATCCCGCCACAATCCAACCCTTTCTCAATAGCCATTGTTGGTGCTGAGGCACCACAATTTGCTTGGTTTTCTGACATGTTCGCGAAAAAAACCCTACTTTTCCTTGGCCTTTTTGAAATGTTCAAACATCAAATTTTGGGTCAAACCTGGTGAACAAATCCAATTCTGAACTGCTTGTTTTGGCCTCCCCTATACACTGAAGCAACAAAAAAAACAACAAGCTTCGTCCACATCCAGAAAAGTGCTTCGTACCACCTGCAGCAAAGGTGCAGCTTTGGATTCTGTTCAGCTGGTGATGGGAAAGAAACAGCATCTCGGGGATACAAAAAGACAACAAAAACACAAACAAAAATGCGGTTTTTGTGTGTTTTAGTACGGTTTAACATGTTCAATCTTATTTTGGGGATATTGAAGCAACAAAGAATAAGATTCAAACCATAGAAGGCCAACAAAAGTTGGATCTAAGCAACAACAGCAAAGGGGTTCATGTGCAACAGTATTTGGGGATTTAACCGCCAATATGGGATCTCAAATCAACAATGAACTATGAACACATGATTTTTCAATAATGAGCAGCTAGATTCCGAGACATTGCTTTTGAAGAACCGATCACTCCAACATTTCTGGAGTGGGGAGATTGGCAATGCTATCGCTCCCCTTGGCATACTGCACCTGAAATAACCCCATCATTTGGGGATGATTCGCCTTACTAACCGAAAAACATCGCAATGAGGTCATTATGATCTATCCGATTGATGGTTATCGGGATGAAATCATGATAATTTCAATAAACATCTAGACATAATGGTGAGGAAATCCAGAACCCCGTTGTCTTTGGTGATAAGTCCCATCCCTTAATCTTAAACACTTGCTAAATCCCCTATTCAACCATAGTCTTTGGGGGTGTGTAAAATAAAATGGAGGATGGGATTCAAACATTGGGATTCACACACTATCCCATTGAATCCTCATGAACTCCTGTCAAATCCATTATATAATTCCTATTTAAATTCCTTCAAAAAATCCATCAATTCTAAATTCCTAAATTCCTATTTAATTCCAATAATTCTATTCAATTCCTATTTAAATTCCATTCACAAAATCCATCAATTCCAAATTCCTAAATTCCTGTTTAATTCCATTAATTCTATTAAATTCCTATTTAAATTCCATTCAAAAAATCCATCAATTCTAAAATCCTAGTTAATCCCATTAATTCTATTCAATTCCTATTTAAATTACATTCAAAAAAATCCATCAGTTCTAAATTCCTAAACTCCAATTTAATTCCATTAATTCTATTAAACTCCTATTTAAATCCCATTAAATCCATAAATTCCTATCGGGTTGGTGGTTTCAACCCCCCTGAAAAATATGAGTTCGTCAGTTGGGATTATATATGACATTCCCAATATATAGAATAATAAATTTCATGTTCCAAACCACCAACCAGTATAGTACTATAGTTAATAATGTTAGTTATATCATATTATATCATGTTATATCCATCATCTATATCCCCAAGATTTCCCAAAATTCTTATTAATTCCCATTCATTTTCATCAAAGAAATCCATGTCCCAGTTATAACGTGGGAACAATCGATCAATCTTCTGGCTGCGCCCACCACGTTGCAGGCTTCAGTGTCCGTCCTACGCGGAGAAAACGCCGTGTGTTGGTTTTAACCAATGGAACCATTAAGACTACCCTGGTTGATTAACAGTTTGCTATTGAAAATGGACATTTATAGTTGATTTACCCATTAAAAATGGTGATTTTCCATGGTTATGTTAGTAATTTGCTGGGCCGTGAAAAAATTAGGGGGTTATACCATGCTATAACTAGTTATAAACATCAAACATTTGGGGATATAAAGTTGATAAGTACTGGTTGATAGGTTCATTCCTTGAGACTACAAAAACGCCCGAATTTACAGTATTGGGATTATGTCAACCCGTAGTAAGGATACCCGACAACCAACTAGTATGATGAAATGGGCAGTAGGGGATTTGTAATGGCACAGTTATACCCTCTGGTAAACTAACAGTGTGCTATTGAACATGGCCATTTCTGGTTGATTTACCCAACTATAAAATGGTGATTTTCCATGGTTTTGTTCGTTTACCAGAGTGTATTATATCGACATGCATTGTATTATAAATTATAATCATCATCCATACAATAGCAAATCATGAATGAGATCCTTACCCGTATTACATCATTTAATTTATGTCATCCATAGTATATAGTTATCCGTGACCATGCATGTTATTCACAGCAACAAACAACAAACAACAAACAACCAACAACCACCAACCACCAACCACCAACCACAACAACAATATCCTAATCCATTACTATCCATATCCATGGATAGTGAATCACAACCTGATAATTCTTGGAAATTACTGGGCTATTGACGAACAATATTTTGGGGTGTCGATGATGATGATGATGATGATGATGATGATCATCATCATCGTCGGCATCATCATCATCATCATCATCATCATCATCATCAACCAAAAACATAGAAATTGCTGTCATAATTCACAATGGCCTAATAATCCCAGAAACCTGGGGAGTCACTCCGGAATTTCTGGATCTTCACAGAAAACTGGGGAATAAAACTGGACATATTAAAATCAACACGATGATCAGATTATTATACAGATTATGCAATGTGTATATACTATAATCTGTATATATGTGTGTATATATATATATATATATGATGATTATGCATTCACTCATGTTCACGAGGTTTTGGATTGCCAATGTAGGGGTCCTTGTTTCCGGCCTGGAAGAGGCTTCTAACTTGTGAATCTGGGTGCTGCTATAACAAGTAATACATCCTCTGATCCCTTCATATCCCTTCCAATGAAAAGGGGAACGCCGCAACGAGAGAGCACCAAGAGGCGAGATGGAGGCAGTTCGCTTGCGACAAGGTCAAAGGGAAGCGAGATATGCCTCGATCCAAGGATCGATCAGAGTCCACTCACGAATCACCGAAGCCAAGAACGGCATCATCTTCCGAGTGCCGTGGTAGGAAGGCAATGTGGGCTCTGAACCCGCCAATGGAGACACATCGAAAATGTTGATCACCAGTCCCCCCTTCCAAAAAAAATCTAACTATGTTAGAGTTGCACACATCATGTGGATACAAATCCCTTTAGGCTTTAGGCTTCACACATATGAACCAGACGGGATAGAAACCATATTCGAGAAACAGGGGCCATTTATCAATTGATTTGCCAGGTTTTTTCACCGAACCTTCACCAAGGTCTCTATTTTTGTTTTGGTTCAAGCCACATGTGTTGTTTTTCTTTTTTTTTCTGAACATGTTACACCAAAATATCACAGTTGATCAGTGTTTTACACATGAGACTTGGCCATAACTTGAAGTAGCACCCATGTTTGTCAAAGAACTCCAAAAATTGCCGCTTGAATCATTGGCTCCAAGTTTTTTTTTTGCAAGCCTGCAGGGGGGTATCTTAGCCTAGTAGTGCTATCTACCATTGGTACAATATTCATTAGATGGATACTAGCTACTAGGTTAATTGCAGCTACCATCTGGCTATTGCACCAAACGCAATAAATTCACTAAATAGATGGTAGATATTCACTACTAATTTACTGAATGTTCATTTGGGAACGCCTCATCATTCAGTAAATCATCTGGCTCCTACAAGGTGAAGCAGCAAATCCTTAGCTACGTTGCTTTGTAAGAAAGTGAACTCGTGTTTGTGGTAGACATATCTATGGTTAATGGTGGTTTATCACCAAACATACATAACTAGAGGCACCACCTGTAACCTTGTACTTGGAGGTGTTAAATTCCCATTGAATTCCCATAAAAAACCCATGAACTCCTATTCAAATTCCCTTAAGTCACATGAAAATTCATTGAATTCCCATAAAAACCATAAACCCCTATTCAAATTCCATTCGATTCCACTAAGTCACATGACAATCCCATTGCAATCCCGTAAAAACCCATGAACTCCTATTCAAATCCCATTCAATTCCCTTAAGTCACATGAAAATCCCATTGCAATCCCGTTAAAACCCATGAACTCCTATTCAAATTCCATTCAATTCCACTAAGTCACATGACAATCCCATTGCAATCCCGTTAAAACCCATGAACTCCTATTCAAATCCCATTCAATTCCATTAAGTCACATGAAAATCCCATTGCAATCCCGTTAAAACCCATAAACTCCTATTCAAATCCCATTCAATTCCACCAAGTCACATGAAATTTTATGAATTCCCATAAAAACCCATAAACTCCTATTCAAATTCCATTCAATTCCATTAAGTCACATGAAATGCCCATGCCGCTCGTCCTGTCTCCAGAAAAATCCTTTCAGAGACAAGGAGTGGCACTTTTCGGGGTGACTGAACTTAGCCAGGGAATAAACCCATAAGCATACCCTCTGGTAAACTAACATAACTATGGAAAATCACCATGTTTAATTGGTAAATCAACTATAAATTGCCATGTTCAATAGCTATGTGAGTTTACCAGAGGGTAATGAATGTTGGTCCCAGGAAATACTCATGTGCCATGGTCAAGTTACATCAAGTAACATGATATAATAGTGGAATATAGTGGAATTTCATAATAATAATAGTGGAATATAGTGGATACAATAGTGGAATATCGTGGATACAATAGTGGAATATAGTGACATGATAATGATGGGATTGAACTTTTGACCATCAACAATATGGATTATAGGGGATAATGGGATACCACTGCTGAAAACAGTGTCATAAACGCCCCATGTTTTAATGGTTTCAATCCCGCCCATTTGTGGTAAGTCATTGGGGATCTTGGATGGTATTGCTCACTAACATTACTCATAACCACAGTCAGAATATCATGTATAATTAGTGGGTATATACTCATCGATAAAGGGAGTAATGGGGTAATAAAGGGAGTAATGAGGTAATAATGGAATAATGATTGAATAACAATGGGAAAATGGGATAAACATTGAATAATGACCTAGACACAAAGGGGTCCCCACAAACAAAATCGCTAAGTTGGTTATTTCATAACTCCAATTTCACTATGGTTTATGGTACTTATGAGTAAAGTTAACGGGGTGTGATAAAGCAACAAACATAATTTTGGGGTCCCACATTGAAGTTATGTTTGTTGGATTGATAGCACATAGGAAATAGAAGCTTACCCTTCGGTAATTTGATATAGCAAACAAAGGCCGACAGATGAGTTCTCTATATTCTTTCAAGGGTGATTTTCCATAGCTATGTGTTGCTTTTTTTTAACCAGAAGGGAACTATGATAAGCAGGACTCAATTAAATTAGGGATTTGGTATTCTTAAAATAAGACCCCTTTTTCGTTTTTTTGGTGATCATGATCATACCAACACCAATCGCATTCCTCGGGTCTTTGCTTTAATTAAATTGCACTTGGGTTTCGACCCCTCTGAAAAATGATGGAGTTCGTCAGTTGGGGTTACTATTCCCTATATATATATACATATATAATCATCCCTACCTTAGCTACCCCCCACCCTTAAAATCATAAAACATAATTGTAATATTGCTAAGGTAGCAGTGATCATATGTATATATATATGGAAAAATAAAAAAGTTTCAAACCACCAACCAGAATCTGTGGATTCTTTTTGTCGCGTAATTCGTGTCATCCTTGTCATCCCCATACGTCGACAGCGTCGACAGCCCAACAAAAACAGTTGTTTTTATAGGAAAACCATAGGAAACCATAGGAAAATGGTGATTTAACCATAAAAACATACCACAGTTATGGCCCGGCTATGAGTTATTTTTATGGAATGAACTAACTCCCATAGCTAGGGTTAAACATATCATGAAGCCATAAACATCACATTTTTGTTGGCCATAACTGTATGCGATAAGCCTGATTCTGGCAATCGAAGCTGGCAATGGAGCCTCATGAAAAGGTCAATTCCTTTTCAAAATCCGAATCAACGGATATATCCTATATGTATATGTATTTAAACATCAACAGGGGATATCTAATCATATCATGGATTAATGGGAAATATTGTGGATATATCTTTTCTATTATGATATACCTTCTACGAAGAGCTAGTGTTCCTTAATATTTGTTGATTTTCAATAATGGCACAACACGTTTAGTTGATTCAGGCATGTCATGTCCCATTTCGACATCTCCAGAATGGGCCCGACACAAAAAAATATCGGAGGACCTGATCCCATCCAGATATCGTAGATGAGGACAAGGGAGTTGTATACACACATGATATTTTCGACAAGCAACACATCTACAAACAAGGTCAACCCCGTATGAATATATGATAATATAATAATATATGTATAAATAATATCTGGCAGATTGATCACGGAGAGTATCCAAAAGAGAATCAAAAGGAATCAGATGACAATAACACAGACCCCAAATGAAACCGATCAGGGTTTATGAATCTAAAGTTGATATCTAATCCCATAGGAAAACAAGAGGTAAATCCAAATCGTACGCAAACAACGAAACCTCCCAATATTTTTACCACTTCCCCAGCGGGGTAGTGGGACTGCCCATGAAGGATGAACACTTGGATTATAACATATTATAACTAATGTGATTAAAACAATAATAAACCATTCCCCAGTCATCACCATAAATATATAGGTGGTATGGTTACCATTCCCAGTCATGGGTGGCAAAAATGACATTGTTTTAACCACATTACCACGTGATTGGGGAATGCTCATTTTTTACCATGAATATGGAATCATAGTGGCCAGGAGTCCCAATTTCATGGTGGGAAAACCATGCCAACCATGCCAAAATTAAACCGTGTAACCTGTAACCTGACCATGGCAAGAATGCCAGAAGATGATCTTTGCGTACTTTAAAACCAGAGTTCCGTCCCGACTTTAGATAACCGTAAAACATGGTAAGTCTGCGTAATTATATTTAAGTATGTTATATTATGGGATTTATACGTATAGATATGTCGTCATAGTGGGATATTGTCTGATATTGTCTGAGATTGTCTTCCGCAGTCGCCAAAATAAACGCGATGTCTGAAGCAGCCCTGGCCCAATGTCTGCAGATTCATAAAGCCCTGGATTGGGTTCACGGGATGAAACATAGCTGGTAGCATCTGGTAAACATACCAAAAAACGATGGAGAAAAGCGCCATTTATTGCTGGGTAACTGGGTAAATCAACTATTTCGACTGGGCCATGGCTTCAATAGCAAACTGTAACAAATTACCAGGTATTCATCCACTGTCGTTCATAAACCCCATGGTTTTACCCCTCCTCTTGCATCGTCACCATCTTCACTAAAGCGCGAGAAAAACCGCGCTCGATTGTCGAGCGTTGGCCCGATGAATGTTTTGGAAGAAGGCAGGAGTTGAGAAGTCAATGTGGTCAGTGGCCATGGAATGTTCGTGAGAAAATTGCAAATTGCCTTGTGTTTTTTTCTTCAGAAGACTTTGTGATGAAATGAGATGATATATATATATATATATAAGCAAACGTACATATAATATATGATATATTAAATATTGCATGAATCTGCTACTCATGATCTTGTTTCATCATGGCAAACATCGAGTCGTGGGCCACCAATACCTGAGTTCAGTCGTGGGATGTTTCCTGCTGGGCCAGCAACGTAGGTCGTTGAGCCCAAATTCCACAACGTGTGTGTTTGCGGAAATCCCAAGAGTTGGAATAGATTCGGATCCACTAAAGGATGGCTAATCCAATCCCAACAATAGAGTTGTAATATATATATATATATATTATATATTGGCTCCGGGGTGGCATCGGGCGTTCTCAAAAACGGTGTTTTCTACACATGGTGTCTTGCAGGCACTGTACCATGTGGGAGCAGATGAACAATATACTTGAAGGAGTTGCTGGTAGATGTCCTTGATACGGAAAGCAGCTTCTAACCTTGCATGTCCTGCCAAGTGTTGGGTGTTGCCTGCAGTGTGGCTGCATGGTCGTGGAGCGTGGGGGCGGAGCGGAGGCAGGGACGGTGCAGAGACTCTTTGGTGCCTGTGGCCTAGACAGCCGTCCCTGGAAGAGTACGTGGAAAATGCTCTAGGGATCTAGGGAGGGGGGGTGGGGATTCTTTGGGGCTCTTAGTTGTTGAACTTGCTCCAGGAATCCCCCCCCCTCCCCCCCCTCTCCCTACGGGTTCCCCAGGGAAAGGTCTCGAGTGCGCCAAAGTGCTACAGCAGCGTGCCAGCAGGGGGGGCGGCTGAGACTGTACACGGAGAGGCGGTTTAATTAGTATCTGGCAGGCGCCGGCTTCGACAGGCAAGTGGTGTTTTTGCGTCGAAAATATATTCCATCGCCGTTGTGACTGGCAGGCGCGCGCAGTGTGCAAAAGAAACGCAGCTGGAGAGGGAGACTGGAGGGAGGACAGATGCGGGAGGCTACAGACTCAAGAGAACCGCCTAAGGCCTAAAAGCGCGCGTAAAAACGCCCGCCCGCAACCACCCCTTAACGTATATATTATATTCATTTCACATCCCAACAAATCTGAATGTACAAGTGACTCTTTGAAACTCTTGGGGGGATGTGAATAGCTACTCAGTCCGGGAATTCTCGGGGTGTTTAGTTTTGATCCATAGTGTGGTTCCAGTACCCTCTGGTAAACTAACATAACTATAGAAAATCACCATGTTTAATGGGTAAATCCACTATAAATGGCCATTTTCAATAGCAAACTGATAGTTTACCAGAGGGTAATTTCGCTAGCCTATTCAGTTTCCCCACTTCGCGCCCGTGCCCAAAGCGCCAAGAAAGTCGATAGATTTTACACTAAACCAGGGGCTCTTGGGGTATTTGATATTGCAGTGATGGTAGCAGGAAGCTTATGGAGGAGTGACTTCCCCCACTTAGGATCCGTGGTTTATCATCCGTATAGAACCCATATCCCATTAATGATATAACATATATCTGGGTAAATTATAATAATTCACTAACCTGAAACTTGCGGTCATTTGGGGATAGCTACCCCTACTAACCATCATTCCCAGTGAGGTCGTTATAATTTACCCAGACATATATAACTGCAGGATGGTGCCCAATTATAAGTTGGTTTTATAAACCCTCTTAACTATTTAACTATAGTTATAGAAGTTATAGGAGTTATAGGTATCATAAACCATACTTAACCTGGTTATAAACCAACTTTACTAAATGGGATGAACCCCAACGGAGGACTGCAATCACGCATTCAACTGGAGTGCGACTGAAAGCTACGTGATGATCCGACTTGTGCTGACGAATTGGGTCTAAGATACCATGGGATACCCACAATGAACCACCAATGGATTTCTATTTGGTGGTATACCTACCCCTCTGATAAATATGAGTTCGTCAGTTGGGATTATTATTCCCAATCTATGGAAAAATAACAAATGTTCCAAACCACCAACCAGATTTAAGGGTATCCCATTTTCAGACAAAGCTTCTGAAATTATTGTGATATCGAGATGTTCGCAACAAATTATTCACCCAAATTAGTCAGTCGTTGCTCTGGATATAGTGATATTTCATGAGCATATCAAGAGCTAGTATCAAGAGTCTGGTTGGGTTTGAAACGAACACAAACTTGAAGCCAGCGAACCACCATGATATTTGCTGTATTTAAGCATCCAAATGTTGCGCGCCTAAGTCTTGGTAGCGGATCCCCCGCCATGTGTGATACCGAACCTTGTACAACCATCCGAGCGCTCATCTGCTACATTTCCCAATGTACTGATGAATCACCATCTACGTACTCTTGACCCAGACAACACTTAGGGAGGTTGGCTTTTTTCGCTAGATTACATGATAAATTGGTAGATTACTTAGATCAAACCAAAGAAGTGGATAACTATATGGAAAATCCATCTTTAATCCATCATGTCTAGATCATTTTACCTGTGGGGAAAAGCCATGGATGTTCCATACAAGGTGGTGCCCCCCAGTTATAACTGGGTTATAATCCCATTAACTATAGATATAATATGATATAATCACCTATAAACATCTGTAAACCATATAGTTATTGGACTTACAAACCAGCTAACGAACTGGGGCACACCACGGGCACCACCCTGTATCTATTGTAGTGCCCAAAGATCCCAGGGACAACGATCCCGGATTCGGGGCTGTGGACCCGCGCTGTGTCACTTCCCGGGAGCGATACTTTTCCAAGCTGCTGGGAACGTCGCTGACGGGTCTGGCGATACTTCGATACTTCCCGCCCCGGAGGTCGCGAGATCGGTGGACGGGGGGTTTATAGTAGTTTATAGGTGTGTAGTGTCGACCATATGTTGCTGTATATCTCATAGTTGGATATAGTTGGATGGGCAAACATCAACTTAATAACTTATAGGTTTCTCTTGGTTTGCAACTAGGCTAACTTTTTTTTGATTCATGGTGGATACATAGCTCCATAATAGTAACATAAATCAACTTGAAACCGGAGCGAGGGCCTTGAAAAATATATGTTTCGTGGGGTCAGATCATTCCTCCATGGATGGTTGTGAATTGAACCCAGTAACGGGTTGTTCAATTATGGGCGACCTTTCTATTAACCAGTCGGAAAAGGTATCAAACTGGCTGAAAAATCCCGTATCAAACACCGATAAGTTGGGCTTTTTTTGCATTTCACACCATTTTTCTTGGTGAAACCAATGCTGAACATCTGAAGCACCATCGGTCTTCGTTAAACACAGCATGTTTTGCTGCTATCCATGGCTATCATTTTCATCCCGGGGCCTGCTGAGGTAACGGCGGAAGGAGGGTAAATAGATCAGGCATAGACGCAGCAATGCCTCAACCAACAAAAAAGAAGCAGCTGGTTGATGGATTTCCCCCACATCTCATGGAAAAAATGGGCAAGCCAGATGTAAATTGGGTGAACATGTTGACCAAACTAGAGTGATATATCCACCATAAATCCCAGTTCTTTGCCTAGTTATAACCAACTTATGCATCGCTCGCAGCTTGTAAATACCAAACTACCAAAGCGAGGTCGACGGGTGGAAATCCCATGGGAAATCATGGAAACCTGTGGACCTGTAGGAAACTGATCTGCGAATGCTTCCAGAAAAGTGGCTGGTTGGTGGTAGAGCCCTACCCCTCTGAAAAATGATGGAGTTAAAGTCAGTTGGGATGATGACATTCCCAATATAAGGAAAGTCATAAAAGATGTTCCAAACCACCAACCAGGTGGAATTAAAGCAGAACGCACATTTGGGTCTTGGGATAAACGGGCAGTGATGGAAACTGGTTTGTAACTGGTGCAAGCCGGCCCCTCCCAGATCCTATGCGCAACAAGGTCGCGATTCGATTGAAATATAAAACAGACATGGCAGCCTTTCACCGCTTACAGTCAGCAAGAAGGCATATTATATATATTATATATATACACAATGTACATGATTAACACAATGGAACATCAATGCACTACCTGGGGTACAGCCAAAAAAAAGAGAGTACCCGATGTGTTAGAGGCAACCCCTAAATGTTAGATCTTCTCCATGGGGGGTGCATAACTTGGACTTGGGAGCCATAGACCACTTGCAGAGCTTCTGACTGGATCAACTAACAGTTAAACTGCCCAACAAAAATGTGATGTTTATGGCTTTATGATATGTTCAAGCCTAGTTATAGGAGTTAGTTCATTCCATTAAAACAACGGTTAATGGCCATAACTGTGGTATTTCTTATGGTTAAATCACCATTTTCCTATGGTTTCCTATGGTTTTGCTATAAACATAACTGTCAGTTGGGCACTGCAGCTGTGGTGCCGACATGTTGACATGTTGGGTGGTTCGTTGATCCCCTCCAAGAAAGATCTGTCAATCTGTATGGCTACAATTCATCCAGCCGGTTTAAGCTACCCTCTAAACTATGGTGATTCAATGGGATTTAATGAGATTTAATGGGATTTAATGGGATATATGATAGTATACCCTCTGGTAAACTAACAGTTTGCGAACTTGAAAATGGCCATAGAAATGGTGGGTTTACCCAGCTAAATGCTGATGTTCGATAGTTTTTTTTGTATGTTTACCAGAGGCTAAGTGTATGTAATACATATAGCAAAGAATATTCTCAGACTTCCCTCCTGGAAAGGGATTCCAGGCAAACCAGTGGTGCTACCTTCAAAGATCTTCAAAGTCAACATGGCTGGAAAATCCACTCTTTACTTCCCTCTCTGGTCATCAAATGGTCCCTTTGAAATGGAACAAAAAAGCACTGGAAGATGATGTGTTCTTAATTATTTATTTGATCTCAGTGCCAATCAGCCAGATAGCCTTGCAAAAAAGAACTGGTGAACCTAGATAATCCCATACCAGACTCAAGGATTAATTTCTACCCATCTAAGATTGACCTAGGAATTTTCTATGGGGGTACCCCAAGCTCGCTGGATGGTTTCAGGGAAATTCCCATCTATAAATGGATGTTTCCTGAAACGGGGGTACCCCAAATCATCAATTTTAGCAAGTTTCAGTTTTTCCATTATAAATCATTTATTTTGGGATATCCCCATTTAAGGAACCCCCCAAATAGATAATAACTGGGGTAGCCCACTTAGGAAACCCACATGTGGCCATGTTTGAGTTCCGCGTAACACATCCGGGGACCGAATTGGCACTGGAGAAATTCCACCGCTGAGAACTAAACTGGCACATGCTGCACATGGCACCATCAAAAGTGGGAATATCTAAAAAATGTGGTGATATAAGATGAAAAACAAAAATGGGGGATAGTAAGCATCGATCTATGATTGTATTATGGTATTAATATGGTATATAATTGGAGGCGATCATCCACCAAAAAATCAGTCACTTCTTTCCAGTCGTGCTGACGCGACCACCAAACTACTAAGGTTTTCTTGGTGGTGAAGCCAACTAGCCACGAATCGAAGGGTGGGTCAAATATCCCAGTGACGTGGCGTGGGGAACTGGGTAGTTCGCCACCAAGAAAACCTCAGCTGGGCTTGCCATGATACCATGTGTTCGGCATTGGTCTGCATCTCTGGGAAAGGATCCGTGGCACTTTGGAGACTTTGGATGCTTTCCTGCGGCGAAAGCACTGGGTGAACATCTACCAACTTACCATAACTTACCCATGAACATTTCTGTACAGCAACCTAAACCCTGATTAAGATTGAGGATGGGAATGCCCAAAGTCATTGCGATAACCTGAAAACCAAGCTTTCCCTGGCACCTGAACATGAATATCGTCGTTAAATTCTCATCATTGGCAGTGTCCATGAAACAATGTGTCTCATTATCAATGACATTAATCATTGGCAATCCTCTTTATCAACAAGTCACAGGGTTGCCAAAAGATTCCAGCTTGATATTCTCAGTTTTCTAGATTTTGAAGATTTTTACAGTGCATTCTCAAGAAAAACATATTCTTTATGTTGGTTAATCCCCATTGGTTTGGTAATCCCAATGGGAAGCACAGCTTTATGGCTTTGTCTGGATATAGCGTATCTCAAATCATGCACACATGTCTACGTGTTTTTCGTAATGTTTTGCCTGCTAAAACTGCCAGTTTGGGATATCCACAATTTTGGGAAACACATGGAAAAACCAGATCATTCTTGAATTTCACAATATGTTTCAGGGGTCAATTTCATAAATAGGCCATGTTTGTCCATGTTTATCATCCCCAACTGCTCCTGGATATCCACACAATGCGGTGCCCCCAGTTATGTTTGTTGCTTTGTAAAGCTATAGCTACTATTGTTATAAGATGTTATAAGATGTTATAACTACAGTTATTAATATAAGTACATTAAACATACATCAACTGGTTGGTGGTTTCAACCCCCCTTAAAAATATTAGTCAGATAGGATCATCATCCCAGCTATTGGGGAAAATAAAAGTCATGTTCCTACCACCAACCAGATCAAGTATCATAAATCATCTTGAAATTGGCGTTCTGTGGCCCCAAAACGGGCCACCAACATCCTCGTAGACGCGCTGCACGAACCGGGCGCATCTTCCGGACACGGGGTGCACGGAGACAACTCGGGCCACAGCCTCCAATTTCTGGGTATTTTCTCATGGATTTCACAAAAAAAATGGAGGATCCCCAAAGGTTTTGCCATGGTCTTTTAGATCCTGAGTTGCGGAGATATTGATGGATATGACATAAACTGTGGGGATAAATGGGATAATGATGGACAATGACATGGTGTTTTGGATGCTGAGTTGCTGTATTTCAATAACTGGGATAATGATGGATATATTGACATAGTTCATGTGGGTTAGCCGAGGTTTCATTGGGCCTGGGAGGCACCCCCTTGTTTGCCTTAGGATGTATCAAGATAGTTAGTTCGCCTATGGAAAGTTCGTATCTAAACTGACATGCAGGAAAGGTAAACATGGCAGAGTGATAACATATCATGTGCATGTTTGGAAGATTGGCAAATAATAAGGAATTAAGAAGCACAACCAATAAATGGAATATAATATATGAGCCACTCATACTCATAATGTCATCATGTATCATTAAGTTCCCTATATTAGCCAAGGATGAGGACGTGAAATAGTGTCTCAGCGGGCAGCATTCGGGTGATAAGCTCCACCTACAACTGGAACTGCACCCCAGTCGTAATTCTGCAACTGAAAATCACTATAGTTTCCAAAACAAAAATTGTACCTTTATATATCTTCAATTTGACAGGTAATATGGAGGGCAAAGTTGTAACACTCATGACTCATGACAGTCGACAATATATAACACGTGGGTTTGATGGGTAGTTGGATTCTACCTCGTAGAGCGGTTATATCATACAACCATGGACAACAAGGCTTCCCAACCGATCAGAGTAAGAGATTCGCTTTGTTCGTTATCTAGCAAGACCATATGGGATCGCTACGAGTTCATATTCCATTATATCCACATTTATGTAAATCAGCAATTTTGAATGCTTTCTGTGCAGGCATACTTGGAAGATCATTCCACTTAATAACAAGTTGGTAAAACCTGTTGAACAAGTCCCCCGAAAAACATATCCTTTTTTTACTGCGTCACAACGCACAAACACACCACTAAAAACTTATCGGAAGATGATCCTCCAAGTTCAACACGTCTGTTTGTCGACCACTGAAAGTCACATTCCCAGAAGGGTCCCTTGGTTCTCTTGGGTCCCAGGCCACTACGATGTAGTACCGCAGTGCGAAGACTTCTTTGGCCTGCGAGATGATAGCGTTTTGACAAAAAAACATACGCCTAACGAGCTGGTGGTTATAGCCCTAAAAGATATCCTTATAATACCCAACATGCTATCGAAATTTTGGTATTCATTCATAGTATGTTTGGATATCAAAAGGAACTATACAGCTTTAATTAATCCCAATTCTATTGATAATACCCAAATATACCCAAAGAACCAAACATTTCCAAAGTGGAAGCCCCCAATAATAACCATCCCCAATATCATAGTTTTTATGGCTGGTATGTGTACTATCCCCAAATGGTCGGTTTATAGCATTGGGTTGCCCACATTAATTTTAATCCCAGTTCTACTAGTTGCTTGCTTGTAGCAACATGGCCAATCTATATAAATGTTGAGAATGGGTATATGGAGGTTTCCTAAAATGGGGGGTACCCCCAAATCATCAATGTTCATAGGATTTTCAATTATAAACCATCCATTTGGGGATACCACATTTATGGAAACCTCCATATTGCTATATTGTGGTAACAACATTGCATAAATACATTCCCAAACCACAAGGTCACCAAAATGACATATTCAACCAGTCAACATTCGCAGTTGAATGGTTGAACCATGAACCGCCATGGCAATCTCAAATCAACAAAATCTGGTTGATGAATTAGTGGGGTACCATCCGAAATAGTGACAACCTACTACTGAAATTAAAATGTTATGAGTAGCCTTCAATGAAAGGGCAGGGTTTATTAATCCGAGATTGACATTCATGTTGATATTTACCATCTGGTTATTTAATATAGCCATGGTATAGATGATCCATAGAAATAGATGGTTTACCGAACTTAAAAATGGTGATTTTCTTTCCATGGCAAACTGTGAATGTCATAACCAGAGGGTAAAACCCATTCAACCACCATAAAACCACCATTAAATCCCGTTAAATCCCATTAAACCCCATTAAACCTATTGGATTTTTCTCTCGACGACCAGTCCCACCGTGTCCCACCTCCGAAAGATAGATAATCGCAAAATCAATGAGCCTCAGCCGGTCGCTTCTCCAGTTGTCAACTCTTTCAAAAGGTGTGAAAATTGAAGAACCTCACAATCCCATACAAAAAACAGATTCTATCGGATTTTTTAATGATCATTCTGAAATTCATTTATGTTTTGTGTTGAAGATAATCATATATGATTTTATGATCATTTTAAAGGAGTATAGAAACCCGATTTTCAGACGCACCCATCTGGCAACGGTTGAAGTCGTTAAACACACGCTGATCAAAACTGGTGGAGATCTTCGTCGTGACACGATGGTGTCCCATAGTTAGCCAAGAGTCTTCGTAAAGTAGTTTGACTAGGGTGTATGATGGATACCCATAGGATCCATGTACGGTATATATGCTAACATTGGGGGTGTATTGATGGTAAATGTTACCATATATAGCATAACTAGCTGGTTGCTGGTTTCAACCCCTCTGAAAAATATTTGTCAATTGGAAGGATTATCCAATATATTGTGGAAAATAAAAAATGTTCCAAACCACCAACCAGCTAGGGTGTATGATGGATATATCATATCTATAGTTTGACGGGCTGATACACCAACAAACATAAGTGGGCGGGGTAGTATAGACAAATAATTGTGATGAAATATACGGCCGGGCCAACTGGGTTTGCGAACTCTTTGGCTGCAAAATCTGCCTGCAAGAGTTCGCACAGGGCCAGAGGAAGGACTGCCTAAAGGATCCGCAAAAATCAAGTTTCCAGCTATCTTAAGGTGGAAATCTAAGGGTATCAGCTGTCTCCCTAAACAAATCAAACCTTTAAAAAATCAGCCCGCGTCAAACCTTATATACTAGGGTTTCTCAAAGCCTGATTTGACAGGGGTTCCCTTTGGGGGTCGAGTTGCATTACTTTCCCACCTCTTCGGCAAACTGTTATGGTTGTAAATCCCCTTGCATTTTGCAAGTGGGGAATAATCTGGTGACTTCACATTTGACAAGTGAGCCATTAAAAATACCCCGATCCCATCTCATTGTACTAGTTGGTTGATAGGTTTCCCTACTATGGGTTATCATAATCCCCAGTAAACCAGGTAGTATAATCCCCTATAGCAATCAAGTAAACAGGGTAATTATACTCCAAACACCTGCGACAGAATTGATGTTTCACAGCTGCAATGATTTACGAATTTTCCAAGTCATGAGGACCCCAAACAGATCAATAAAACCTGGTACTGCCGCGTTGCTGAAATTAAAATTGATATCATTGTGCTATTTGAAAACGTGCAATTTTAATTACAATTTTTACATATATTTTAGTTTCTACGCGGATGTTCGTTGTTGAACGGGTTCTTGCCTGGATGTCGCTTTTGAACGTGTGCGAATGCAATTTGAGCGCGATTTGAACGCTTTTATAGGGTACAGGGAAAACCACAGTCAACAATCATTTTCACCGAGGAGTCCAGGTTTGTGCAAATGCCCTTTGTGAGCCGAAATCATTGAAGGAATGACAGATGCATTACTCATCATTACTCAATCTGAAGGCTCCAAGACAATACTAAAAAATGGTCAACAAATAAGACTCTGAAATTGTTGGATCCGTTGTTTCTGCTAGTTCCACACCTGCCACGTGAGGGTCTTTAGATGTTAGGTCTGGGCCTCGCCGGACCCAAACACTGTGGGCCCCGCTGGAGCCGAACACTATGCCAGGTAAAGTGCTAAATAGAATGCCAGATAAACTGAAAGATAGAATGCCAAATTAAATCTGAAAGTAGGGCTGTGAGCGCCCAGTTTTTGGTGGTTTTCCAATTGACCGGTTTTGCGTTTCGTAGATGGTTTTTTCCACCAATCTCTTCCTCCATTCTCCTGTGTTGCCTTTTCCCTTCTTCTGCGCTGCTTCTCAACCTGAAAAAACAAACGCATCAAAAACAAAATGGGAAATATATGGCTGTGAGTCAAAATTGTGTATGGAACGTTCTGCGGCGTTCCGGGCGTACGGAACGAAGAGGCTTCGTAACTGGTCTTGTTCCGGCTATACATAAATTATATGTATATATATATATATATGTATACTGTAAATATGTATATAATATACATCTCAAGGACATGCACGTTGAAGCTACTCACGCTGGCTGCCGCTCGTTTTCACTTCTCATCTGCACGGCATCTTTGTTGTACACCTGTTCAACGCAGGTTTGCCTTGCATGGGTAGTGCTCGTGCACTAGCTAGGGCACAACCAGTAGCCAGCGTCACACACTGGCTACCATGTGAAGCTGTCCGCTCAGCTTCTTGTTTTTTGTTGTGCACTCCCGTCCGCTGCCTCCCACCTCCTGCTGCCCGGTTACACACACAACTTTCCCACACATCACCACACCCAACTCTTTCACACAAAAATTTGTCCCGCACATTTCTTTCACAAACAACTTTGTCACACACACAACTTTGTGACACACAACTCTTTCACACACAACTCACTTGGTGACATCCACGCTGCTTGTGTGGCAAGCGTGGCACTTGGTGACATCGAGGCTGACTTTGTGTGGCAGGCGTGGCACTTGGTGACATCGACGTCACTTCTGTGTGGCAAACGTGGCACTTGGCGACATCGACGTCACTGCGTCGCTTGTGTGTGGCAATCGTGGCACTTAGTGACATCGATGTCACTTCTGTGCACGCACCTTCGTCAACTCTTGCACGCAACTCTTTCACACACGACTCTTTCACACATAGCACTTTCGCATACAACTCTTTCAACTATCGGTCCTCCACCACCTCCTTTGTCTTTCCCGCCTCCCCCGTACAACTTCAACCACGGTTTGTTATTTTTTGAAGAGATTGACTCGTGGGGCTATCCGGTCCTTTCATTTTTTGGTCCCGCCTGCCCTTGAGGTATGAATACGGGAACTTATACAGATTCGGAAGTAACATGTTCCTCCTTTAGCGCATCCTTGTCCTTGCAGTCAGTGCCTCTACAGCTATTTCATGGCCTTCTCTTTTTCGGGTGCCAGCAGTCGATCGGCGAATGGTATAGTTTGGCGTTTCATATACCAAAACTGGATGACTCCAGTTCAATACATTCTCTTTTACGCACCCAAGCATTGAACACCCCAGACATATTAGCACGAACGTTTCTCAATCTCTTTTTCGCAGACCTTGTGAGTTTCTTCTTGGAGCATTTGTGGTTCACCCTATTAAAACTCATCGACGGCGCAATGCTGGATGGGCTTCAAGATATTCTTCTATCGTTTGGACTTCTTGAAAGGCTTTTCAAAGTCACAGGCATCATCATGAACAAGTAGGTGGGGTTTCACCTTCGCGATTTTCGTGTTTTTGTGCATATAGACCTTTTCCTTGGTAGATTCGTGGATGATGTGTTCCATTCCTGCCATAACCTGCCTGGAAGGCCGATCGATGATGAATTGCCATCCAGGCATCCTGTTCTTCAACTTGCCTTTCCTTGTCGCATGTGCAAGTATGTTATTTGGCCTTTGTGGTGCTGTTTCTTCTTGGGTCGGCCCCTGAGAGCGACTGTCCGTGATGGCCTAAAATCTTTGTGCACATGTCTATGCACGCCAAAATGCGCATCAAACGAAAGTACCTTCACAGTTCCGGGAGGTGGAAAGAGAAAGGGGTCATGGCGAAACTTCAGCACAGAAGCCGGACGATCCACAGGAAATGGCACGACTTTGTCAAGAGTTCGACGGGCCAAGGCGTAGCCTTGCAAAGCCCGCATGAGGTGTGCTTGGAACCTCGTGGATGAATGGATCTGTCACCATCTTCGATCAGCATTTTTGAATCGTAGTGTCCTGCCCTGCTGTCAGATTTCCATGCAGAAAGCAACAGGTGGTCATCTTGAGGTACTTCATGGTGAATCCAAAGCTGTGAGTGACCAGGTAAGTGCCATACTTCTCCATATCATTGACCGTCAAGGTATTGGTTTTGACACCATCTGGGTATGCAAAACTGGCACGGTGTCCAACCCTGCAGCCCTTGTATGCACAAGGGCTCAGAGCTCACCATGGTGCATTCAGTGCCGCCTGCATCAGACCGATCTACTAGACGTCCTTTGCAAACGGATCGCGCCATTGGGGGGGCCAGTTGGGGAAGAAGAGAATGGTTCACCATGTTCTTAAACAGGGTATGTTTGCAAGGAAAAGAGCTGAGCCAGCTGGAGAGATAGAACGGAAGAAGTGGCACAATGCTGCAAGCACACAGTGGCAAACAAATGCAAATAAGCAATCGACATCAATCGACTATGCGCAGACAGTGTTGGCGCGCAACGGTCTTGATCCTTTCTTGCTCCACGCATAATGGTCATGGTGCCAAATGCGCCAATGACTTCCAAAGCATGATTCCCAAAGCAGGATGACCACAAAATTCTTTATATTTGGCTGGCTATGTTCCTGTATTGTACTGCATAAGCACACAACGCACATTGAAGCAAAGCCCTTCTGTACAAACAGCCTCTCGATCCTCTGCGCCAAATCCGAAGTGATCACGATCTACTTCTTCATCAGCTGACGTTACATCCCAGTCAGGGTTTGGACGCCCTTGGTCGGGGACAGGCGCAGCGGAGAATGGGGCATTATCCTCATCACTGTCCTCATCGAAATCAATGCATTTCCCAGGCTGTTGGCTGACCAACTTCCAAACCTTGGCTTTCTTCAAGATCGTGATTCTCCAAGAAATCTATAGGGGACTTGGAACCGGACCTGGCCTTTCTCCAAGAGGTTTGCACGAATTTGTTGCCTGGTCTTCTCCTCACCTTTGTTCACCTTTCTGCCTTGCAACATTTTGCCCATCAACACAGACACCAACCTCTGTTCTTCCTCAATCTCCCCATACAAATTTGCGGGCATTTCTTTGTTCCCACCCTTGTGCTCCCCATAGATAGACATGCTCTGCATTGATGCCGGCCGGGCGCTAGTAGATGTGGACCTTGGTGACGATGAAAGCATTTCTCTTGAAGACCGCATCCATGTGGGCGCTAGATGCAGACTCCTTGGCTGCTGGGAGCACCAGCTTGTAGAAACTCTCAATGGTGATGTGGTTCAGGAAGTCATGCGGCAAGTCCAACCCGTTGTCGTAGGTGTTGTCTGCAAAAGCCCTAGGTTGGTTTTACCAGCCCGCCCTGAAGGATGTTCAGGGACGTATCGTCCAGGAAACCCCCAATTAATGCACAGCCTGGCTCTCCGCAAGGAAGTCGAGCTCAGGCGTGCGTCGAACAGGGCTTCCCATCCAGATTGAATCTGGCTTGGTTGTGTGCGGCCTGTGCCACAAGCACCGATCGGCCAAGAGGGCTTTCGCCAGAGGATAAGGGCGGACTGGTCGAAGTCCCAGATCTTGTCAAGAACTTTGAGGACAGAAGTGTCGTAGAACACGGGAGTCGAAGGAACAGGCGAGTGCATGGGCCCCTTTGCGAGCAAGGGCATTTTCAGACACGACGCTCCTGAGAGCTTGGCTGACGAGAGCACAAGGCCAACCAAAGATGGGAGAGTCCTTGTTGCGCAGCTCCTTCGTCTGCCATTTCAATTGAGCCATTTCACACGTGGATCGTTGGGCTTTGCGAAGGATATGATCAAATCCCTGATCAATCTCCTCGTGGTCTTTCTGTTCAAAATTGCGACGTTGAGCTTCGATGATCCCTTGGGATCTGAGGTCGAAGCATGTGAAAGCGCAGCCTCCCAAGTTTTCCAGGCAGTACTACATTTTTTCCAAGTCTGCTGACATGAATTGAAGCTTGAAAGGGCTTCCATAGACCAGTTTCTTCAACATCTGCACCTTGATCTTTTCAGGGAAGGATAGGTGCTTGAGAATGGTGATCTTTTCGTCAAGCTGCTTCAGAAGCACCATTTGGATCACTGTGTCTTTTGGCAATTTGTCCTTGAGGCCAAAGGGTTCCGGGGTTGAAGACCTTTCTTTTCACATGCTACCTTGTATGCAGTGCTGAGGGCAAAGAAGTCGATATCCCCCGGGTGGTCAACGATGTCAAAGAAATGGACGCCATCACTCTGTAGCTCAGACATGGGGAAGGATGCAGCGGTAAAGAACCCGGAGGGACTTCAGGCATCACCAACGGAGAGATTGCCCTCGCCATGACGACCCACCACTATTGCTATTACGAATAAAAGATCCACTTAAATGCAGAGGCTAGATGCGCGTAAAATTGAACAGATCTGTTAATGTGATTCACATCAATGTCTCAACCCCTCTTCACAGAAGAAAGCCATATCTTGGCCTCAAGCAGCCATGTTTAGTCGTTTTTTTGGGCGCTGCGGACGCTGGCCTTTCAACTAGATCAAATAACATGTAAGATAGAATGCCAGAACATATATAAGGTAGATTAGATTCAGGTAGAATACAGAATGTGTGCCAGATAGAAAATTAGAAAATATGCCAGATAAAGCGTCAGCTGGGATGTCACTATATATGTCAGACTATATTGAATTTTATTTTCTGTTATATAAATCTAATGCAAACAAAACATTCAAATAGAATGGACAGATGAAAAGCAGAGTAGGGAAGAGGCAGAGAGAAGAGAAAGATTAGAAGAAAGAAGAGTAGAAGAAAGAAGATGCAGATGCGCGAAAGGGTAGGAACGTCGCGAAACATTGTGTTTTTCCAATGATTTGAGGCTCCGGAGGGTCGAAAAGTAGGCTCGCTAAAGCGGTGGGTGCGGAGCTAGCTGGCCAGATGAAAGATGAAAAATTGCACGCCGTTGTGGCGCGAAGCACATTTCGAAGTGAAAATGCACAGAACACATCAGGTTCGGACCACTTTTGGCAGTTGAGATGTCGAAAAAGTGCACGCCGTTGTGGCGCGAAGCACATTTCCAAGTCAAAATGTACAAAACACACCAGGTCCGGACCACTTTTGGCAGTTGAGATGTCGAAAAAGTGCACGCTGTTGTGGCGCGAAGCACATTTCCAAGTCAAAATGTACAAGCACACCAGGTCCGGACCACTTTTGGAAGTTGAGATGTTGAAAAAGTGCACGCTGTTGTGGAGTCAAAATGTACAAAACACACCATGTTCGGACCACTTTTGGAGGTTCGGATGTCGAAAAAGTGCACGCCGTTGTGGCGCGAAGGACATTTGGAAGTCAAAATGTACAAAACACACCAGGTCCGGACCACTTTTGGCAGTTGAGATGTCGAAAAAGTGCAAGCCGTTGTGGCGCGAAGCACATTTCGAAGTCAAAATGTACAAAACACCACATGTTCGCGCCACTTTTGGAGGTTTGGATGTTGAAAAAGTGCACGCCGTTGTGGCGCGAAGCACATTTCGAAGTCAAAATGCACAAAATACACCAGCTTCGGACCACTTTTGGAAGTTGAGATGTCGAACAAGTGCACGCCGTTGTGGCGTCAAAATGTACAAAACACTAGGGGTTCGGACCACTTTTGGAGGTTCAGATGTCGCTTCGCTTCAAGACACTACACTACAGGACATTACACTACACTACACTCCAGTACACTACATTACACTACATTACACTCCAGTACACTCCACTACGCTAAATTACACTTCACCACACTACATTGCACTGAATGACACTGCAACACAGATAGACAGGTAGACAGCTAGACAGACAGACAGATGAAAGGGAGAGATAGATAGACAGGTAGGTAGATAGATAGATAGATAGGTAATTAGATGACAGAGAGAGAGAGAGAGATCGATAGATAGATAGATACATAGATAGATAGATAGATTGGTAGGTAGGTAGGTAGATAGTCAGAGAAAGAGAGAGAAAGAGAGGAGACCTCAAGCACCTTTCGGTCCATCAGTGGCTTTGCTCTGCCATCCCTGATTCACACCAACCAAGCTCTCCTATAGGTTTCCTATTTTTGAAACTTCCGCCACCGCCTTGTGCGGTACTACTGGTAGAATGTCAGTTGGTACGGATAAGTCGAAGAAAGTAATTCTTCCTGCTGAAGGTCAAAATTTTTGAGCGAATGACACGTAAAAGCTGGTGCCCTCCAGTTACAACTTGTGCTTCTTAACCTCCTGTTAACTATATATCATATGTACTTACTGTAGATACATCTAAGTTTCATCTACCACAGATACACCTCAGTAAAATGTGTTATAAATCAATTTAGTCGGTGGACCAGCTTGTATAATCTCAAATTATTAAAAAAAACATGTTTTTAATGTTTTGTCCCCCAAGATCCACAAAGACTTATGGCAACACAACATAGTACACACCATACTCTGTATATATATATATATAGCACGCATTATATATCTGTTATTCGCTATATATATATAATTAAGATACTATATATAATTATCGAATCCCATGTCCCAAGACGTCCAACACCTTGGCGCAAGCCCAAACGGCATTCGCCAGGTTCGTGACCCTGCAAGCTTCTCCCTGAGGAATGGAATGGGTCCCGACGTTTCTTGACGCTGCTTGGTTTATCTCTGGGTATGAACATAGGCTAAACCTGTATACCTTAGGGGCCTATATACCTCAGGCATGGGTTTCTAGTAGAATCCAAAGGTTTTGTGGCAAGTGTGTTTGAAGGCCTGGCGGCCACGTGGCGACGACATGACGACCAGGCAAGCCCATCCAGTAAAAGTCGTAGCTACCGTAAACCATGTTGTATACCTTGTTATAAGCCAACTGGCCTATTTTGGATGCACCACATTGCAGGACCATGGAGTGGAGGGAGTTGCATTGAATGGGGAAACCACAAGTTACCTTCAGGAAATCAGCCATGGCTGGCTGGGAAATCCAAACATCAGCTAAACAAATGGTTCCAAACAATGCTAAAAATAGATTTTCCAGCTGGTAAAGAATGCTATGACTGGGTCATGTTTTGGTAAATGTTCACTGGAAATGTGGGAACATATGTTTGGATATGTTTGGCGGTTTATGGCGGTTTCACTGTATCCAAACATGTGTTGGAAATTGGATCGTTTAGAAGGGACAATCATTGGTGATTGAACTGATCCAATCAAGTCGATTCGATCTGAACAATTCGCTTGATTTGTATATCAAACACTTCCATAACACCATGGTTTTCAGCCGAACATGTCTGGCTTTCAGATGTTCCCTGCCTCCCTGCATCCACATTCTTGAAAATATAGCCCTAAAATATCATTGTTATTATTGTTTAGTTTAGTTTAGTTTAAACCAACATGTTCCAACCGGTTCCTAGAACCATTTTCCAATATTTTCCAATATTTTCCACTCAACTGGTTGGAAACTCCATTTTCCACTCAACTGGAATGATTTTTTCATCCACTTTCCACTATTTCTTATCGGTGCTAAACGTAGGGAATGGGTGGGGAATGGGGGTTGCTGGGATTATTATTAATAGTTATTGTGGATCATTCCCTCATTCCCTGCTAAGCACAAGTAGGTTAATGGTAAAACCCATGTGATACATGGAATGAGGATTTCATGGTGATTTAATGGGATCTCAATGGGATTAATGGTGATTTAATGGTGACTCATGGTGATTTAGTGGTGATTTAATGGGTTCTCACAAGTAAGATTTTCCTCCATTTTCCAACCGGCTCCCCCTGTTTCAACGGCCGCCGCGTTGCCACGACATCTTTGGCCATGCACAGCTTGGCGGCATCCAGGAAGCGTCCCAGCAAGGGCTGTGGAAGCTGCTGACGGCCTGGGGCGATGCTAGAAGCCATGAAGGATGACTATAACTATCTACATTTGGTTATCCAACAATGGGGAAAAAATCTATATGTATATATATATATATATGTGTCTGTCTGTCTGTCTGTCTGTTTGTCTGTCTATATCTACATATGGCTATCCAACAATGGGGAAAAAATATATATATGTATGTATGTCTGTCTGTTTGTCTGTCTGTCTGTCTGCCTGTCTGTCTGTCTGTCTGTCTATAATTATCTACATATGGCTATCCAACAATGGGGGATAAACTATATATTTATATACTGGTTGGTGGTTTTAACCATCTTGAAAATTACTTTACTTCGTGTGATCCCCACCATGACATTTATCGATTTGTTACTGGCAAATCTTCTGGCATTCTATCTGATATATCTTCTGGCATTCGATCTGGCATTCTATCTGGCATATCTTCTGGCATATCTTCTGGCATTCTACGTGGCATTCTATCTGGCATATCTTCTGGCATATCTTCTGGCATTCTATCTGGCCGTTGAGGTCCAGCGGTGCACACTGAGCTGGGAAGGTCCCAGGTTGAGGTCCAGCGGTGCACACTGAGCTGGGCAGGTCCCAGGTTGAGGTCAAGCGATGCACACTGAGCTGGGAAGTTGGCAAAGAGCTTGGCGAAGAGAGTTGGCAAAGAGCTTGGCGAAGAGTTGGCAAGGCGGAAGTGGAGGTGGAAGTTGATGCAGACATGGTCGAGGAGAAACTGGAGGAGGCGGAGGAGGAGGAGGAGGACGAGGAAGAGGAGGAGGAGGAGAAGGAGGAGAAGAGCTAGCCGAGGAGGAGAAGAACAACTCTGATAAAATCTAACAACCCTCACCTGGCAGGTGGGGAAATATGAAAGTCAACGGGAAGGATTATCCCATATACTGTGGAAAAATGCTCCAAACCACCAACCAGATGTATAAATATGTATGTATGTATGTATGTCAGTCTGTCAGTCTGTCTGTCTGTCTGTCTATAAGTATCTATCTATCTATCTATCTATATGCTATCCAAAAATGAGGATATCACATATATCACCCAGTTATGGCGATTTTTGAAAACCATTTTCATGGGTATAAACCATCAATCCATATGGGTGGTTTATGATTTCTTTGCTATCATTTAATTTCTTTTAACATGGGATGTTTCAAGGATTGTAAAACAGTCGCAATGTTGGCCCCCAGAGCTAAGTTGGAAAATGTAAATCCATCTGTAGCTATTATAGTCATATCTATAATAAACCAGAGATAACCATGGTAGACCTAGTTATACTCCTATCTTGGGGGCTCCACATTGTACAAACATGTGCAACACTTTGATGGCAAGTCACAAATCATGCGAGTTAGGATCCACGGTTGTATACATATGTAGCATAATTCCTTCTCCATGACAGAAATATTTGAGCTTCTCTGAACACAGAATACCTCAAGATTGAAGCTCGTGTATCGAAGTCTCATCATGTAGATTTGGGGATGTGGATCTGTCCTTGCGAACATTCAAAGGGGATCATCCCTTCCCAGGCCCAGGCACCAATTTCGGCCGCCCCCATGGACCAAAGCACCATGCTGAAGTTCTGCGACACGTTCTGCAAGCGAGCTTTGAACGAGCAAACATCCTTTGGGGGTTCTTAAGTCATTGGGAATCCCCAAGCCACCATGGGTTGCAATACTATTCCATGGTCGTCCATGACTTAGATGATTTGGGGCTACCCCCCATCACGTAGGAAACCTCCATTTTGGATAAAATTCCATAGAATTCCGGCACTGCACTTGGAATTTAATATGCACAAACCTTGAATTCACCAGCACAAATCGTAATTTCACAAGCCAAACATGTCGAATGTGGATTTCCTCAGCCACATGAGGATCGTGCCTCGTGATCCTCTTGTTGACAAGGAAAGGTTGAGATGCACCCTCTGGTAAATTGACATAGCTATGGCAAAACACCATCTTTTAATGTAGGATAATAACACAGGGAAACAATGCAAATCAATGCAAATCATCCATAACTAGGCAATGTTCGACCGCAAAGAAAGGATCCAAACTTTGAGCCAGTCGGCCAGGTGGTGATAACCCACCACTTGGGTGTGGGGTACACTTCCATGACGTGGCTCTCTCAATGAGGAAACTTCATAAACTTCCATGAGAAAACCACTTAGCCGTGTTATGCCATGTTAAATGAGGGTAGACGATCGTTCACAAGACGTATGAGTGAAACTGGTAAGAAAACAAGTGAAACAGACATCATGATTTCCAAGATTGCCATCGAAAGTTCGACATGATTGCTACTTTCGCCAGCCGTTGATTGAGAATGCCGTTCCGAATCGTTCCAACGGAATTCCAAGGTCAACCAGCGAGCCATCCACATAAGAAGGCTGACCAACTTCTTCTCCAATCTGCTCGAAAATTGTTCGTCGGGGCCAAGCTTCTGTGTAGACCACTTGCCCGATTTGACTCTTGATTTTTTTCTCTTTCAAAACCCTCGTGCTTGCCATGGCTAAGCAGCTCGGCTGAGCCGTTGCATCTTCTTCTGCCTTTCCGGCCTTTACCAAAACGATTTCCGTGGGGAGTGTTGGGGCTGGTCTGGGGCTCTAGCGTGGGGAGTGTTGGGGCCTTTTCTTACGAACTCCAAACATTTCCGCTAGCAAGGAAACAATATCATTAGTGAGGAAAAAACACAGCAATGCAAATCACGAGACATTCCAACTCCCTCAAGAATCCGATGTCTTCGTTGAATTTCATCTAATTTGCCTATAAAGGGACCATTGTCCATTAGCTTACCGAACGTTGTTCATCCTTTAATTCCATGCTCAATTCGATCTTGACCTCCCCACAGCGCATGCCCCCACTTGATGCGTTTCTGTTGATAACTAGAAACTAGAACTTATGCTGGGCAGTTAAATTGGGGTGTACACCAACCTCTACTTGGAGGGCCACTTTGCGGGGATATAGCTAATACCACCAATATAACTGATGGATGTGAAGGGTCACTTGATCAATCAACGAGAATGAATTTTATTACCCAGGTATCTCAAATATCTAAGCACATGTTTCAGCTGAAGAGTCCATAGATACCAGGTAGTGCCCAGCACGCCCCTGGGCGGAAGTTTCAAAAATAGGACATGACTATAGGAACCAGTTTGCCTATAGGAATTGTTGGTGAGATGGCAAGAGGTGAATTGACAGGAATGCATTGAAGAAAATGGATGAAGGACTGTATTGAAATTGAATTGAATTGATTTGACTTGATTCGCGTTGAATTGAATTGAACTAAATTGAATTGAACTGCATGCATGATGGATGAATGAATTACTGAATGAATGACTGAATGAAGGAATGAATGAATGACTGAATGAAGGAATGAATGAACGAGTGAGTGAGTGAATGAATGAATGAATGAATGAATGAATCAATAAATCCATAAATCAATGAATCAATAGATTTGCCGACCTCATCTTCCAAAAGTGCTCTGAGACCCTCAGTTTTTTTTTACGATTTTTATGTGAATTCGAGCTCTCGCTACAGTCCTGTGCACTGATTGCCGACAACTTTTGCAGATCGAGGCCCGCACCCGCGGAAAGAGAGACCCTACTTCGGCGACCGCAAAAGCCACTTTACCTGAAAAACACAGGGTGTCGCCCGAGAGTCTTTCAAGCCTGAATTCACGCGTTCCAGACCAGCTACACTTCCCAACTACTTGATGATCTACTTGATGATGATGATGATGATGATGATGATGATGATGATGTGGTTGACATGATGGTGAGAATGCTGCAAATGACAATCATCCGTAACTTAGAAGTTATCTAAGTAAACTTCCTTTGATCATCCAAGGTTTACCCCAAGAGATTTATCCTTCACCTTCCCTTGGCGACCTGCCGACACTCTGCTAAGTAGTCTAACCTGTGGTGGGAAATATCCAGAGATTTTACAACACTTCACCTTAAAAGTTTGGGAGTTCGGCCATTTGGGAATGATTCCCCTTACTATTGACCGCAAATGACAGTGGCAGTGAGGTCGTGTAATCTATCCAGAGATATGGTAGACCCATCTAGTCCCCAAAACACAACGAAGATTTACAGTAAGTTGCCTCATGTTCACCCACCTAGCTACATATATATATATATATATATATCCATGATTTTCGCCCTTTTTTGTCAGTTCGCAAATGATCTGGATTTTTGGTTGGTTATACCATCTGGTTGTTTAATATAGCCATGGAAAAACACCATTTTTAATAGGTACACCATCTATAAATGGGCAATTTTCCATGGCTATGTCAGCCATAACCAGAGGGTATAAGTTCTGTGGTTAAACCGCATATCGCCACAAGGTCACCACCCCCAAATTCACCAGAAATTCACGCCTCAAGGTCCTCTGTATCGACCTCAGTGAGACGTTGGTATCCGACCTTCTCCCTCTTTTTTTGGGTGCGAATGTTTAAACATAGCTGTTACAGTGCCCTAGCCCCAAGGTATTTCTTCTGATTTTTGTTAAGCTAAGTTAAGTTATATCCATGTTTAAGCTAGCGGGTGGAAAACCGCGCGTGTAGTCGTGCATATTTTTGAATATGGGGGTTGGGTTGGGTGGGGTGGGGTGGGATGGTAACGTCCATGTACCTTGCGTACATACGTGGATGCTACGCTGGTGCTACGGTCGGGTTGGGTGGGGTGGGGTGGATGTAACGTGCGCACATACGTGGATGCTACGCTGTTGCTACGTCACTGGTCATGGGTTGGGTGGGTGGGGTGGGTGGTAACGTTCATGTACCTTGCGTACATACGTGGATGCTACGCTGTTGCTACGTCACTGGTCATGGGTTGGGTGGGTGTGGTGGGATGGTAACGTCATGTACCTTGCGTACATACGTGGATGCTACGCTGTTGCTACGTCACTGGTCATGGGTGGGGTGGGGTGGTGGGATAACGTGCATGTACCTTGCGTACATACGTGGATGCTACGCTGTTGCTACGTCACTGGTCATGGGTTGGGTGGGGTGGGGTGGGATGGTAACGTCCATGTACCTTGCGTACATACGTGGATGCTACGCTGTTGCTACGTCACTGGTCATGGGTTGGGTGGGGTGGGGTGGGATGGTAACGTCCATGTACCTTGCGTACATACGTGGATGCTACGCTGTTGCTACGTCACTGGTCATGGGTTGGGTGGGGTGGGGTGGGATGGTAACGTGCATGTACATTATATATATATGTATATATATATATATGTATATATTTGATATAAAGTCGTGTATCACGCGCGGTTTCCACCGTTAGCAATGGTCTGAATACCAATCACATGTTGAAGACGCTGGCATGATCGTGGCATTTGCATTGTTTCGTGCATGTTTATTTGGTCGTCCGTTGGCTCTCGCAGCGTTTCTGCCGGTTTCCGGCCCCGTTGCAATGAAGAGGCCTGCTTCCGTCACAGGAAGCAAGCCGGATGCAAAGAAGAGAAGATCGTCTTCTTCCAGAGGAAGCAAAAGTGAGCCGCAATGTACCCATTGTGGTGGACAAGGCCACTATGCTTCCAGTTGTCCTGATTTGGGAAAAAAGCTCTTGTCTTTATTAGCGAAGACCCATTCTTCCCAGAAGCTGCAGAAGTTTCTGTCCGATGCCAGCAGTGCTCAGATTATGGGTTGTCCGAAGAAGCCTTTGAAGTCTTTGAAGAGGTCTAAAGGCAATAGACATTTTCGTGCACGTAAAGCTTCGGAAGCTGGAAAGAATCCCAAGAGTCAAAGAGGAAGCAATGCCAAAGTCAAGCACAAGAAGCGAGAGAAGCTGAGAAGACCTCGTTCTTTAAAGGATGAAAGCAAGCAAGTTGCAGTGACCAGAGACAGCGTCATAGCTGCGCATTCCTTTTTGAAACGCACGGGATGGATTTGGAAGCCTGGCAAATGTGAGTGCGGTGGCACCTTTGAGGCGTTATCGTTTCAGCATTGTGAATCTCGAGGCCATGGGAGACGCTTTGTGAGGTGCTCCGACTGCAGTAGCTACCGGGATGTTCTGACATGGAGTCATTTGCCCAAATTGAGGATGCCGCTACCTTCTGTCGTAGCTGCTATGAAGCACTGGTTCGGTGGATCTGTGCCTCCATCAGCAGATCATGTGGGAAGGCTTCTAGGTTTGTCTGGAACGTCGGCGACGAGTTTGAAGTCCTTACCAGGTGTAGGATATATCCCATTTCTAATATATATATATAACCCGCTATACAATATATAATATCTAGAGGTCCTCGCCAGGTGTAGGATATATCCCATTTCTAATATATATATATATTTATATACCTCGCTATACAATATATAATATGATGAGGTCCTCGCCAGGTGTAGGATATATCCCATTTCTAATATATATATATACCCCGCTATACAATATATAATATCTAGAGGTCCTCGCCAGGTGTAGGATATATCCCATGTCTAATATATATATACCCCGCTATACAATATATAATATCTAGAGGTCCTCGCCAGGTGCAGGATATATCCCATGTCTAATATATATATATACCCCGCTATACAATATATAATATCATGAGGTCCTCGCCAGGTGTAGGATATATCCCATTTCTAATATTTACCCCGCTATACAATATATAATATCCAAAAGAACATTGGGATCCCTGGAGGTGAAGATGGACGCAATTACTATTGGCAATTATTTGGTTTGTATCAACGCCCCACAAGTGAAGATCTGAGAGGAAAATTCATGGTTTATGACTTGGGAGTGGCAGCAGCTGCCAAGTCTGGAAAGCCTCCACCTGAGAGTGCTTCGCGCATTCGTGCCACTGGTGCTTTGCAATGTGTGCAACCGACCCACAAATGTAACCAGAAAAGCATCTTGGTGACAGACGGTGCCCCATGCTACCCTAAACTGACCTCTGAACACGGGCTGCTTCATGAAGCTTGCAATCATAGTAAGGGCATCTTCTGCATCACCAAGAAAAAGAAATGGGGAAACTTGCTGGTTCACACCGGTGGCATCGATGGAATGTGGAAGATTTCCAAAGGTGCGGTATCATCGTCTTGGAACACACGTAAAGATGGTGTTGTCAACCCTCAATTGCTTGAAGGAATAAGGATTTGGCAATGGCGATGGCACCATGGAAATTCCACTGACTTGCTTAGTCTCACAGGCAAAGCCCTAAGCAAACGCTTGGACACGTGACAAGCCAGGAAAGAAAAAGGAAAAGGGTTCCACCCCGTCACAACCACAAAACCCTGTAAATACCACGACATTCCTTCAAAGTCATTCAATTTTTCCCGGGAAAATTTTAGGTAATGTTCATCATAAAATGTGTGCGGCGCCACAGCGCCAGAAGAGTTTTTTTTCAAAACGTGCTTAACCGCTAGCGCGGTTTCCCACCCGCCGGGATGTTTAAGGAAGTTTCCTGGCATGGGGGATACCCAATCACCATGGGTTTCAATGCTAAAATTTACTAAAATGGTCATCCATGACTTAGATGATTTGGGGGTACTCCCATTTCAGGAAACCTACATTTTATATTTGCGGGGATGCTTAAAAGCATGTTTTACCCATCCCATTTTTTTGGCACACCAAGGCCATTGACTTGGTCAGCGGTTGGTGTAATTCAAGCAGTTACAAATATAATTTTGATTGAACACCCTAACAAATGCAGCTGTCGCCCATGGTTAGCTTGGGATGTGACCAACAGTACTAAGACAGATCAACTATCAGATCGCCACAGATGGTGAAAAACTTGGATGTTTCAAGGTCAAAACATGTTCAATCCTCATCTGACTCATGCTCAAAAAACATATCTTTGATACTTAGCTCTCCAACCTTCACCAGAAACTGTTCCAGCCAGCCATCGGGTCATATCGGGCCCGCCGAGCTACATAGCGCATCATGGTTTTCGGCAGCATCTCCAACACTGCGTCGTGCATTTTGCAGCGCGCACCGCCCCAAACGCACCAGCTGAGCTCCTCAGGGCGCGGAGGATCTGGCGGTTTTGCAGTGGGGAAAACAGGGGATTTCACATGATTTCACGGTGAAAAACTGTAAGCATGTTTTCGATTGTTTTCTTTTAGTGGGTGGTTGATCATGGTTTATCTCAAGGTGAAAGGGAATCGGAAGCGGTAGCAAACATTTAGAAGTGAACTTCCAAAGGCTTGAAGTGGGAAGTGGGGTGGTGCAGCTGGTAAGTCTGGACTTGGAAGCGAGCTACCAGTCCAAAGGTCACTTGAGTGCCCGGTTATTCACACATATCAGGAGGAGTGATTGGTATAGACGTCTGGGTAAAATATATGAGGGATGCCTTAAGGGTATACCCCCGTCAACATACCTCAGAATAATAACATATTATTCGGACATAACTTGACTTCAAAAAAACAAATATTCCAAGAACCCAATGAGATATTATATGGGATTTTGGAATAATATTTGACAAAATGATACCCCTATAGGTTTTTTTCCTAGCAAAACGTAAGCCATCGTAAGCAGCTGTGGGCAAACGGCCGAAAAAGGTTTCCGTCCTTGCAGAATTGGGGTACAAATTTAAACATAATCAGATAGGATCAAAAAGAGCCAGCATATATCTTCAAATTTTTGCCTTCTCAGCAACCCACTGGTTGAACATGGTTTTCATTGGTTTTGGATGTTTTTCCCGTTTCTGGGCTGGTTTGGTGGTTGTGGCCTAGTGGGAATGAGTGAGAAAGGAAACATGTTTGGTTTTCACTGGTTTTTGTTTTTTTTTGCCACTTTCTGGACTAGTTTTGTGATTGTAGCAGCTGCCCACTTGAGGGGTGCCAGGCATCTCCAATACCCTTAGAATAATTTCTCCCCTGGAAAGCCAACAAAATGGCACTCAACCTGGCTCTCTCCTTGAAATTTTCCCAACCTTGCGTACGTCCCCCTATTTCTTCCGTATTCCTTTCATTGCAATCCAAAGAAGCCTCGTTGGCCATAGTGGGAATGAGTGGGAAAGGGGGACATGTACGGAAATGTTTGGTTTTCGGTCACAGTGAGGTCGTTACAAATTACCCAGATACATGCAACCTCTTGTAGTGGTTAAGCTGCCTGAACAGTGGATCAATGGAGCTGGCAGCCATTGCCAGGCGATGCATCCCATTGAGATTGCCCGATTTACCATATTAATTGACATATTAATCTGGTTGGTGGTTGACCTACCCCTCTGAACAATATTAGTCAGTTGGGATGATTCTTCCCAATATATGGAAAAATAAAAAATGTTCCAAACCACCAACCAATAATTGACATATTTCATAAACTATATGAAGATGTAACATACGCATAGGATCCATGTATGCTATATACGGTAACATTTACCATCAATATACCCCAAATGTTAGCATACATACCATACATGGATCCTATCGGAAATATATATATATATGCACAAAGCAAACATGTGGTTGTTTCGTAAAATGGGTGTACCCCCAATCATCCATTCTAATAGGTGTTTCCATTGTAAACCATCCAGCTATTGGGGCACCTCCATTTATGGAAAACGCAATACATGAAACTATGTTGAAAGACAGTTTTGTGCTATACCCATTCCATCCTATGTCCATCTTCTCTCATCGCGAAGGGTGCTTTGCACTCCAGTCCTTTGGCTCAAATTTTTCCTCGCGAAGGCTTGCGGATGGTTCACTCCAAGGCAGTTGGATGGTTCAATTCATGCAACATACCAGCTACAACTGAAGGGAAAATAGGGTTGTTTAAACATCAAACTATGGGAATTATAAGCTACAAGTGAATCTGACTGATGAATAACAATTGTGGCCCGACATACCAGTTATAAGTCAGTGAAAGAACCCAATTTCTGGAATGATAATCAATAGAAATAAGTATAAAAATAAACTGGCGTTTCGGGCTTTAACTGTATATATATATACTATTACCAATATTGGGATTTTGTCAGTGTCTTATAAGCATTACGTCGACATGCTTACAGTGCCGTGGGGAGAAGTGCCAGTTGACGCTTCTCGTCGCTCAGGTTGAAGAGGATGGAAATCAGGAAGGAAAAGGTGATGACAAATCTACACACCCAAAATCAATGGCCATTTCAGGAACCTAAATTGGAGGTACCTACCATAAGGCCTATGTAAGGGCGAAATTTCAGGGAATATCCCCACAACATATGGCCTTATATGGTACAGTACCTCTATTTTAGGATCCTGAAATTCCCATTGACAAAATGACCCAACCCAAACGATTCTCAAAATTTAAGCACGCCTCAAGGGCAAGCAGTGTCACATTTTTTTATCATCCCACATATGATCTTGTGGACGAGCGGCAAATATCTCAGCAATTGTACAGGATGGTGCCCCCCAGTTATAAGTTGGTCTATAAACCCCATGAATACTATAGTTATATCTGCCATAAACCATAGTTATGGGAGTTATTTGCACCAACTTAGCTAACGAACTGGGGCACCACCTTGTACCCCTCTGAAAAATATTAGTCAAATGGGAGTATTATTCCCAATATGTGGAAAGTCATAAAATTCATGTTCCAAACCACCGACCAGTTGTGGAACACTTAGTCAGAAGTAGGGATTTCACCGTCCCAATTTCCGGCCCTAGAGTTTCCCGTAACTTTTTCTCCTGCAAAAATGGGCCCTACTGACAGTTCTAAATGCGTTTGAATAACTCCTGCATATAAGGTGAACAAGATTTCACTCAAATTAGCTTCTCGGAGCCAATTATAACTATCAAGGCCTTTAAGTGCAGTTACAACTGGATTTTTACCCATCAACATATGGGTTTTCGCCCCTAGTACTTGGGTGTTTTAGCAGATACCAGATGATAAATGCTGCTTAAGGATGGTTAAAGACTCTAAATGTAGAAACATATTTCCAGGATGTTACAAGGTGGTGCCCCATAGTTAGCAAAGTTGGCTGGTTTATAACTCCCATAACTATGGTTTATGGCAAATATATATAACTATAGTTAATGAGGTTTATAAACCAACTTATAACTGGGGGGCACCATCCTGTATAGATACCAGAAGTTTCCTCCATCTATTAAATTTCACGAGCTCCTGGGATTTTGTGATTCTTAGGGAATATTGGATATCAAGGTCAAGATGCAATATTTGGTGCAGTGTACGCGCACAAGGGTGGCACCAGAAAACTTCAGCGTCATGGTTTGCATGGGTTTGCACTGGATCAGCCTTCCATAAATGGAATTGGTCCAATTAATCGTTCAGAAAAATGAAACGGTCGGAAGCAGTCGGAAACGGTCGGAAACGGTCGGAAACATGATCAGGCCAAAACTTGTTCAACCCACATTTTTTTTTATTAAGCATTTCCGCGCAACGCCATTTTTTTTTTGAAGGTCCAAAGGTGTCAAAGGGGAAACGGTAAACCATCCAGTTGGGCTATCCCGATATCCTCATGACTTAGAAAACTCTAGAGATGCTCATACAGTTATGGCACGAAATACTAGGTATCAGTCACCTATATGACCTTACAACCCCATTTATAACCATTTACAACTGGATAATATCCCAGTTTATGTGGGATAAGTAGGGTTAACCGCTTATTTCAGGCCTAAATCAATGGGAATTTCAGGATCCCAAAAATGGAGGTACCTACCATATATAAGGCCTATATATATATATATATGAGGCCTAAATTTCAGGGAATATCGCCACAAAATATGGCCAGAAATATGGTACGTAAACACGTACCTCCATTTTATCCTGGAATTCCCATTGAGTTGGTTTTCCAATATAACCCCCATGAACTAGTTCGTTATATCTACCATAAACCATAGTTTTTTCAGCCGCTTTTTTCAGGCAACTGAACGCTATCGATTGGGGGCCCCATCCTGTATGGTTTATGGTAGATAATACCCAAAATGTTATCTAAATTTTGGTATTCATTCATAGTATGTTTGGATATCAAAAGGAACTATATATACAGTACAGCTTTAATTAATCCCAATTCTGAATGCTTTATGGTAGATATATATATATATATATATATATATCTGGATTTCCCTTGAGTAACTTCTTCCGGATTTCCAAACAACGCCCCCACGCCGACCGCGCTCCGGTGCACCATTGGCGCAGCGCATGGCCGTGCGCACCGCCCGTTGCACCGCCTGAGGCGCCAGGAAGACCTCGTCCTGGCGCGGAGACTCTCCTGGTCTCTGAAAATTCGAATGAAAAACCATCAAATGATGCTAAAATGCTATCTTAATCAGCAAAAATGATGATTTTATCATCAACAATAGTATTTTAAGCAGGAAAGAATATGATCTTTACCAGTTAAAATAGTGATTTAATCATCCAAGAATGGTCGTTTGACCATCAACAATGGCATTTTGACCAGCAAAAATGGTGATTTTACAAGCTAAAATCAACAGTGGTGATCTGAGCAGCCAAAGTCTTGATTTAGCAATCTAAACTGATACTACACTTGTGGTATAACGAGAAATAATGGTATGGGTAAATTATAATATTTGACTCACCTGAATAGTTCGGCCATTTGGGGATGATTTCCCTTATTAGCCATGATTCCAGGGTTCGGTCGCAGTGAGGTCGTTATAATTTACCCAGAGTAATATATCCCATACTTAAATGTAGGTAAATATACATACAGATGGAGCATATATAGGTATAGTTATCAAATTCATGAGTTTTAACTAGCACCAAAAATGGTGACTGAACAGTTGGGAACTTGTACATATGAGGCATAAATATCTCGAACTAGCATCCTGGTTTCACACTGAAATCGGCATCTTTTTGGGCATTATGATATTGAATACCCTCTGGTTATGTCAAAATAGCTATTGAACATTGCCATTTATAGTGAGTTTTCCCATTGAAAAATGTGATTTTCCATAGTTATGTTAGTTTACCAAAGGGTAAATAGATGAATGGTTCATACATGAATATGGTGATTGTTGTAGAATAAACTTAGCTGGTGAAATATAAACCATATATGTGTCTTTACCTGCTAAGTTTATAGTGACAATAACGTAAACCATATATAAACCATATATATATATAGTTCCCTATAAACCACATATTTCCCTGTAAACCATATATTTCCCTATAAACCATATATTTCCCTATAAACAACGTATTTCCCTATAAACCATATATATATATTACCATCATGTCTTTACAGCTTCAATAGGGAATTATCATATGATGTTAACATCGATTGACAAACATTGGGATTACCATTCGCTTAACAAACACATGCTGGGCGCTTTCTTAAAATGGGGGATCTTAGAAATTGGATGGTGTATTGCATGACAATTCGGACAATTTGGGATAGATGATTTGGGGTATCTCCATTTTAGGAAACCTCCATATGAGGATCCTTGGTGACCTTGGTGTTCTTCTTTTAAACAAGATGGATGGTTTTTTGGAGGACTGTTCCACAATGGGGGATTTACTGCAATGGGACAGAATATTAACTGCGAAGCAATGGGATACATATATGATCATATATGTCTGTTATATTAGATTATAACTCTAAAATTTTGTAAAATCATCCCATAAATTGGAACTACCTTACAAACTATTAAATATGTCAGTTTATACATAATTGGATACTGATGTATACATACATATGTACATTATATTGGAACTGATCATCCCATATTTCAATATGTGTGGGGTTAGTTTAGCCAAAAAAACGGGCTAACCCGACGAGACGGGGGCTTCCTAGCCAGGGTTACCGAGCCGAGTTGGCAGGGGAGGGTTCTGCAGGTAGCTGACAGAACATGGGGATTCAACAACTTTGTTTGATGAACCGATGGTTAGAACCATATATATATACTGTAACCAGATAACTGTAACATATCCCATGAATACTATAGTTATACCTACTATATCACATAGCTATTAGAGATACATACGCTATATATAGATACTGGTCGGTGGTGCAATAACCATCTTGAAAAATCTGAGTTCGTCAATGGGAAGGATTATCCCCAGCATATTATGGAAAAAACAAAATGTTTGCAACCACCAACCAGTTGACTTTTTGCTTTGGGGCTGAACCAGGGATGATCATGGCTTCTCTTGTGGTGGAAAGGATGAGCGCCAGATATTTGCTGTGGTTGAAATTTCTGGTTTTCTGAAGTGAAATGGTTGCACACCCCCCCAATTTCATATACTTTCGGTAAA